TGCAAGAGCTCCAAATTGGCTTCAGTTGCACAACCTGTATTTACTGGTATGTGACTGAATCCCACCCCAAAATAGAGACAGTCAAGAAGTGCCCTAAATGTCATGGGGACTTTCCAGACCAGCTGTTTATTCAGCATTCACGTCAATATTTTCCCCCAAAATGTGCAGAGGTTATACAACTCCAGCTAAACAGCATTCATCCTGATATGCTCATGTAGTGCTTATGCAACTAGTGGGTGTTATTCTGCACTATCCACTGCTATTTTCCCATCACTTTCCCATATCTGTTTTTTTGTGTGGTTAGAAACGTAATGGGATAATTGCACTCTACATAAAATGTGTGATAGCAACCACATTTCGGGCAAATAAGCAGCCTGTCTGGAAGCGCTTCATAAATCTGCACTTGGTTGTGGCATGGGATATTGAGAACTTAAACTCCTTTAGGGATTTAAATAAAATGTTGTCAATTGCCTTGTGTTATTCTTTGCTTCCTATCAAGCTGTGAGGAAGAAAATGGTAAAGACAGAGGCAACATCAATCTGTCATAGGGAGCAGCAGGTCTTACCTGGAAACTTTTTACAGGAATCAAGTAGTATCACACAAAACACTGACCTTTCACTATTAAAAGCTTTTTTTTTTTTTTTTTTTTTTTTGCTGATCTCATTGATTCCCCTGCAGTTCCCTCATAGCATGCCCCGAATTTCCCCTTTAGGTCACACAAACCCCATGTTCAGCATATGTAACGGGTTTGAATCCTGGCACTTGCCCAGCTTAAAAAAAAAATCACTTGACTCAGAACAGCTGCAGTTGAGCAGATTAGTACCAGAACCTGTAAGCATGACTATAAGTCATTTCCAACATAAATTATTTTTAAGTCAGTATGGTTAGTGTTACACCTTTGCTCTATCGAAGTCAGCTGTACCATATCAGTTTAAATGAAAGATGCTGTATGTATGTTATGAAGCATCCCAAAACCTTTATATAGTCTTGAAAATACATAATCAAACTTTTATAACACAGATAATGACTGTGGAATATCAGTGCTGAAAAAAGGTTAAAAAACAGCAACAACAACAACAACCCCAAAACCACACATGCAGTGTTTCAAAAGAGTCTTCCATCTGGAAAGGGGGGGAGAGAACGAGCGAGGAAGAATGCTCTGTGGTCTACAGCCACAAATTGAAGAAACAGATTTATTTGTCCATTTTGGCATGATTTGACCATGTCTGATTTTGCTCCATACTTTGGAGATGTCAGCCATTCCAAGTAGATATTTCTTAACATCCTTACACACACACACTTTTAATACTCTCCAGATCCTTGTAAACCATTTTGCTAGACAATGAGAACTTTCTTGTTCAGAGGTGCCTATAATTTATTGTTCTAAAACTAATAATAAATGTAAACTTTCATGTCGGGTTTGTGATATTTTAATCTGTTTCAAAAAGACACTCAAGACTGTATTCCTAAAGAAAACTTTATCTCATATTTTAGGCTGGACCATCACATGTGGAGAGTTCTTTCATTTCCCCCTCCCCAGCATGCTGTTTCCAATAGTGGTGAATATTTGTTAAAGCACCAATGAAGAAAGTAGAGATTAACCATGACCTCAAAATTATATTTCCTTCCTATAATTCAAAACCAGCCTGAAGATCATGGGCCATTTTTCTACTGCTACACTGGTTAAGATGAGGTGCCTTTAGGTGTTGCCTAAATTCTGAGTACCATCCACTATCAGCCCCTCTTTATGGCAGTGCTACTGAATTCCTTAACTGATGGTCTGATCATGGTTAACGAGAACAAAATGCATGAAGTACTTTTAGATTTCTCAGTGTTTATCCAAAATATGCTGGTTGATTAATTAAACCAGTCACCTTATGGGATGTTAACATGAGTTTCTTACACCCCCACACTATCTCTTTTAATGCATTACAGAGCTTACAATATAACCAACATTTAATAAGCAAAATAATAAACATTTTTGAGGATGAGAATTAAGCATAGGTTTTAACAAACCGTAGTTCAGTGACTGTATGTTCATATTCTAGGTCATGAATTTGAATCTAACTCAAGGGTGGAGTGGTCCATCTTTGGATCCTCAACGAATCACCCTGCAGCCTTTGTCTCACCAACTTTGGACTTCTGACACCACTAAAGGATCTAGGAGTCTTGGTTGACCACAAACTTGACATGAGCCAACAGTGTGACGCGGCAGCTAAAAAATCCAATGCAATTCTGGGCTGCATCAATAGGAGTATAGCATCTAGATCAAGGGAAGTAATAGTGCCACTGTATTCTGCTCTGGTCAGACCTCACCTGGAGTACTGTGTCCAGTTCTGGGCACCACAGTTCAAGAAGGACACTGACAAACTGGAACGTGTCCAGAAGAGGGCAACCAAAATGGTCAAAGGCCTGGAAACGATGCCTTATGCGGAATGGCTAAGGGAGCTGGGCATGTTTAGCCTGGAGAAGAGGAGGTTAAGGGGTGATATGATAGCCATGTTCAAATATATAAAAGGATGTCACATAGAGGAGAGAGAAAGGTTGCTTTCTGCTGCTCCAGAGAAGCGGACACGGAGCAATGGATCCAAACTACAAGAAAGAAGATTCCGCCTAAACATTAGGAAGAACTTCCTGACAGTAAGACACTGTTCGACAGTGGAATTTGCTGCCAAGGAGTGTGGTGGAGTCTCCTTCTTTGGAGGTCTTTAAGCAGAGGCTTGACAACCATATGTCAGGAGTGCTCTGATGGTGTTTCCTGCTTGGCAGGGGGTTGGACTTGATGGCCCTTGTGGTCTATTCCAACTCTATGATTCTATGATTCTAAAGGTTAACAAGGGCAGAGCAGGGGAAGGCATGAAGGAGCCATAGTTTCCTCAATCCCTTGACACGCCAACCTCCCCAAAATAGGGGAATACATCTGCCAGCCCTGGAACTGGAATAATTCACTTCCCTCCCACTGGAGACAAAGGCAGGGGCATTGTTCAAACAACAAAAAACATTTGGAACTAAGAATAAATTTAAAAATTCTAAGTACAGGAGAAGCAGCAAAGCCCAATATAACTTGTCGATAATGTGCTGCAGTTGAGCGTCTTTTTGTAGTAAATCCCTTTGCCTCCAGCCATCACTGCCCTTTGGAGGATTAAGTGCAACTGCAGAGAAGGTGTCATATTACTCAAAGTTATTTCTAATGGGGAAAGAGTGCCATCAAAAACGAGAAATAGGTTTCATGTTAAATTTTACTTAAGTGGATCATGACAAAACACAACCTGTGTCAAGATGGAGCGAAGGGTAATTTGTAGACTCTTGACATACCGTATTTTTCTCTCTATTACACGCAGATTTTCTCTCCTAAAAAGGAAGGGGAAATGTCTGTGCGTGTTATGGAGCGAATGTGGGGGGTCCCTGGAGCCGATTAGGGGAGCGCAGGAACAAAAATCAGCAAAAATCAATCGTTTTGTCGGAGAGGGAAACCTGAAAAGAGGAAGTGGTTGCTTTCCTGCATTCTGCCTCAGGGTCTTACTGCCCACCCTCCTCTGTTTCATTGCTGTGTTTGCTCAAACGGAACAAAGAGCAGGCAAATCCCCTCCCCTCCAGGCAAGCAGAGGGGAAAGCAGAGGTCTTTCCTTCTAATTCCTCTCCGTGCTCCTCGCAGGCAGCCAGAAAACATGCAGGAGGAGAGAGAAAGCTGGCTTCAGTTTGTGGAAACTTTTGCCTTTCTTTCTTCCCTCCCGTAAAATCCCTCTCCTGCTTTCTTAGCCAGCTGCTTCTCTGCACACCGCTCTCTTGTCCCTTCTGTGTTTTTCCTTCACTCCCCACTTAAAATGTAGTTACAAAGCATGGATCCACATGGATCCTCAGGATCTTTGCATTGGGCCACCCCAAATTCACCATCAGATCACATAGCAGCCTGCCCCCCAAAAATCACACACCCACTGTTGCCTGGGGCTGCAATGGTGCAAAAATGTGGTTAAAAAGCATGGATCCACATGGATCCTCAGGATCTTTGCATTGGGCCACCCCAAATTCACCATCAGATCACATAGCAGCCTGCCCCCCAAAAATCACACACCCACTGTTGCCTGGGGCTGCAATGGTGCAAAAATGTGGTTAAAAAGCATGGATCCACATGGATCCTCAGGATCTTTGCATTGAGCTACCCCAAATTCACCATCAGATCACATGTCTGTGGCCACAGCATGAAGCACAAAAATGATACATCCACTGTTTCATTCAGAATTTTTTCCCTTGTTTTCCTCCTCTAAAAACGATGTGCGTGTTATGGTCAGGTGCGTGTTATAGAGCGAAAAATATGGTAATTGACATGGTAAAAAGCCTGTTCACAGCCTCCAAAGAACATTTTTGATGATAATTTCCACTACCCTTATACATGATAGCTACTGATGCATTCCATTCATATGAATAAAGAGAAAAGGAACTGAACATACTAATTAAAGCAACCTTCTAAAAACAGTCAAAAGCTCCTAAAAACAACTCTCAGAGTTTCCAGAGGACATTTGGCCATCAAATGCCTAGGTAAACAAAAATGCTAATTAAATTTCTCCTAAAGGTTAATAGGGAAACTAAGGCACCTAACTCCACAATCAGGGAACCACCACCAAGAAGACACTGCCACAGGTCTTTTCCAACCAGACAACCTGCACCACTGTCTCCCAGAACCAGGAGGGGATCGCAAAGGGATGAGCAGAGGAAGCTTCCACAAAGGTGCACAGCCCGTTGGGTAAAGGTTTGTAAATGGGGGGAGAGGGAGTGGTCTTCTCTTGCTGCAATGGCTCTATGGAACACAGACCTGGGAACAGCTGCTTAGATGCTAGACTGGTGTGCATAGATATCCAGAGCTGTAGAAGTGACTATAAGTGTTATCTATGATGATATACTCTCTGCCGTGTGCATTCCTTTGGCTAGGAGGCACGCTTGACATTTATATCATTTGGAGGATGAAAGGAGTGATACAGAAACAACATACAAACAATGAGACCTGCACATGCTTAGTTTTATTTTAATATTATTTTTTTAAAAAAACAACAACAACACATTTATTAATGCCAGTGTATGATTGTGGTAAGGAAACAAAAACTAAATGGTGTAGCAACCAGCATCAAATAATACCAAAATAGTTCTTTTAAATGAAACATAACATTTCAATAGCTCTTGGATTCTTTATTGAAGTCCTGCTTATGAAACCTTTAAAGGAAGTTGCTACAGTCAATCCGAATTCTGGTAGAACTTGGCACATGAAATACAATTTACCTGTCCATCCGTACACAACACATCTCACTCTTTTTAAAGCACTCATTCATACATACTTACATGATGCATATACATTGTGACTAAAGCCATGTATGGCCTAAAGCACATACAATAGTTTCTCCTAAAAGTACTTATTTCTACATCAATAGGAAGTCCACTGTATTTACAACTGATGATCTTGCTCTGCAGATGGGAATTTGCTCGTGGATCACTTTTGTGAACACACACATGAAATGTTCAAATTGTCAAGTTCTTTATCAAATTGGATGTATCTACAGAAAGATCTGTATGATCATGTGCAAGAATTCTAAGGCAATAGTAGTAGTTGTTCCACAGGGCTAGTGCTGCCATTGCAATTATCTTTTTCACATGCTTAGAAAGTCTGTTCTTCTTAAGATGCAGCCAGGCATAGTGAGACATTCATGATCTGCAGATTGTTGGCTCAAAAGATCTAAAACATCTTGCGTTGTGGTTTTTTTTAAAATAATAATATGTTCATGGAATAGCACCATAGAAATTATCTTTGCCATCACAAAAGTCTTATTTCCAGAAAACACCCACCCACCCCCTTTGTCCCCAATTGCTGAGAAATACATTTTTGGAAACCAACTTTTTAATATTCATTTTTGACTGGTTTAAAATTAAAAAATAAAATGAAACCATTCACAAACATTTTCAAGGAAATGCTGAGTAGCAGCTCATTATGACTGAAACGAAATCCATTAACTGGTGTTTTGGATTATCCCGGCCCTGGTTACTTCTGTTGTTTATTGAATAAAGGTCCACAGCAGGCTTGTAAAAGACTCGTTCTCATGAGTACTTAGTGTAAAATTTAAGAGGTCAGCAGGTATGGAGTCCTTCAGCAATAATAAACTCAATGTCCTCAGTAAATGACAACGTCCAAAGTCTGGATGTTCCCATAATGATGATGAATGTATAACGCTTCAGACATTCCAATATGTTGCTATGATCAACTCTCTAAAGTTTCAACGATTTCGCAGATGTAGTTTTCCAGTTTTCATTACATTAATGCGTTGGTGGGACAGATGAATTATGAGTGCATAATAATCTCAGAAGATCCCCCTCCCCCTTTCCCCCCTGACTTTTCTTTGCATTCACTGTATCTTGGATATATCACCAAAGCAATTAAAATAAGAAAAATATAAGGACAGCGTTTGTTTGTTTTTGAGTGCATGACCTGCAGAAGGTAGGCATTTCCCATCCCCCCCTCCTGAACACCAGTCACTTGTCAAGAGTCTGCAGGGTCACTTTCCCTGGTTCTTAACTGGTTGAGTATGCAGGCAACTATGACATTTGTCAAGCTGTGAGCAAAGCTCTTATAGTCTCCCTGGAAGCATGCAGCGCCCCTCCACTGGCTTTGCAGAGACAGCCACGCCTGAGACCACACGTCATCGCTATAATGTCTGTTCCTCTAGAATAGGAATATATTTAGCAGTGAGATGTTTCAGGTTTCCTTCAGTTTGGACGCATGGTGTAAAAATGTTTGTTTACTAAGAATGTCAGTCTTTTTATTAAAAAACAACAACACAAAACAAAACCCATTCCCCCCTCTCTCCGCAACAGTCACTCTTTCTGTCTCATTCTGTGGCCTAAGGGATCTTCTGTTATTTTTTGGTGTGAACACTGTCTTGATGTTTTATGCTTTTGTATCGTATATGGAATCCTTTCTTGTTGATTGTATCATCCGTGTGAAAATGAAGTAAAATAGAATCACCTGCCGAATAAATCTCTTCTTGCGGCTGCAGGGAAAGGGGAAAAAAAGGGGTTGCCAAGGTTACCATGAACACAGTTAAGCATGTTGCAACAATTAACAGTGTGGTCTTCCTTTCTCTAGACGAGGCCACAGTCTGCTGATGTTTGTTCTGCTATCAGCACTGAATGGAGTAGTGCTTTGAGAGCATGCTTGCTTCTGAGGCTCAAACTACACACCAAGCAGAGCTTTAGAATTCTGTGTTGTTGCTGTTGCTGCTGCTTAAAACTAAAGCAGCCTGGAACCAGGCTACCTATGATTGGGACACTAATGGGTGTGTGGTTGCTTTACCCTTACACCTGTTATTTTTCAGCTCAGAATTGCTCTCCTCATTGTGGTAAAAGCAACTTGAGAAGGGCAACTTTGAGCTGAAAGTAGGAAAGAATTAAGCAGACACTCTCTGCTTAGCATACTTCATCTGAAAGACAGCTTTGAGCTAAAAAAAAAAAGTGAACAAAAAATCATTGGAAATCTATGTAGTTTGTGTCTATTTTTTGTCCTCGTGACAAAAATCTGTCTTTCTAGCTATTGATGCAGTACAGAAAATCCTTCCCTTTAGCAGATTTTCATTCAACGTACTACCTTTAAATTTAATTCCCTCCCTTTAATATATCATGATCTTTCTCCAAAGATTTGCATCCTATGAAATAGTGTTTGTGGATGGCCCCAATTACTGTCATCACTTGCTTCAGCAATTCCCCACCCCCTTACATCAGTGTTTGCATATTGCACACTCCAAACTCTGATACTGATACTTGCTCCATCTTGTCTGAAGACCATGCTGAGAGATAACTATAGTTTCAAACTTCAGGTGTCCACACTATGTTGTGCTACCCATAAGGCACATACTACACTCTCCTTTCCATTACACCCAACTAAAACTTTATTTGAAGAGTCTCTACTTAAAATAAACTAACTCACATTGAAAAGTTCCTCCTAAGTTTCTCTTAACGTGGAAAACCCATGCACAGAACCTTCCGAAACTGTTTAGTTTCATCTCTCAGAAAAAGTTCTTTAAAAGCAAGTTCAGGGAAATATAATGAATTTAGTGTTGACTAAATATTAAATGAACTAGATGGCTTTCACGAAGGAAACACAAAATTGGATTTTATATCATGTCTTGCTTTTAGCATTCAGTGATGAAAGCAGAATGAGTTTCTAAAATTCTGGGTTTTCTATGTATGTATAGCTCCTTTGCTTACTGTTTGACATTTCTCACATTGAAGAATAAAAGCAGCCTTGTCAAAACAGGTATTACTTAATTTTGTTAACTTCAATGAACATGTAGGTTATAAAGACCAAAACACTGGCAGAAGTACAGTACATCCCTTTACATACACTTTGCTAAGCAAAAGCAGTGGGGCTTTGATACTTCTTTTTTTCTCAAATAGGGAACCCTATCACTGCACTGCAACCTGCTTTTAAACTCAGAGAAGTTAAAAAAAAAGCAGGTTGTGATAAGGTGTATAGGGGTGTGTTTCTATCTTCTGTATAGAGAAAGACAACAAAAAGTTGTTTGGGCATTAACGTCTATATTTCACATCCATAGTCATTTTATTTATTCATATTTGGAAGAGTCTTAATCATTGGAATAACTTCAAGATTACATACCCCTGATCCACAAAACCGACCAAGCCTCAGAGAAGTTGTATCATGACCGTCAAAGAGCTCTAGGTAGTCATAACCACAGTCTGCTTCTTCCTCCACCTCAAAAGTCTGAAAAGTTAACTCTATTCGGTAACCACGGTCTGATACTATTAGCCATTCACAATCCGCTTGAACTGGATAGTTGTTGTCACCAAACTGAGCATGAGAGTAGAGATCTCTTGCTTTGCTCTCAGCTTTCAGACGACCACCACACTCTGTACAAAGAAAGGAAGAAAAAAACCAAATATACACTTCTTTCGATCTTGTTTTAAAAGGAACCACACATAATTTCCCACCTTGTGTTTCTGAATCATGATGGTGGTAAGAATGATATTAGAACCACCGCTAGGGGCCAGTATAAACCAAGGAATTGAAATAACAAGGAACTAGAAATAATATTTGACCTGGAAAAAATAACAGACATCAGTATGTTGGCAGCTGCTTTTTCTAACAGAATTTTGAGTGTCTGAAGGATACAATGTGCTTCCAGTGTTGAAGCCCCATATTTCATCTTCATTAAAAAGCCCATTGGCTTCAACAAGATGGTCAGTACTACCAGTTTTTGTTCCACCAGTAATAAAAAGACGGAGGACATTAGAAGCACAGGCAATAATGTTGTATTAGGGACATATAACTAATATTTGCTCCCCTTTTTGCTTAATGGAAATGCAGCCCAGATTAAAATTTGGCCCCAAACAGTTTTAAACATTTATCAACAAAAGTAGTGGGAGTTATTTTCATACCTGTAGTGTGAGTAGCTTGAAAGCCTTTTCTCTGTACTGATGCATCAGAGACAAACCTAAGGAACATCTTATTTCCAGTAGCGACAAGAGGATCTGGTATCTTACTTCCACACAAACGTCCAAGAATTGGTGACTTCTCCGTTTCCCCATCAAAAACTTCCAAATGGTCGTAGGCACATTCTTGATGTTGCTCAATTTCAAACTCATTAAAAACCTGAAAAGTTTAACAAAGTATTGATCCATTACATCAGGTGTGTTCTGAATGTGAACCTGAGGTCAGCTCCATGCTATAGTTTTGCTACTCTGGGCGTTTAGGATTTTTAATGGCATGCAACTTTTATAAGTACTGTAATAATGAACTAGCAAAGAAAGTGGGTTGGATCCAGACTCTCCCATGATAGTGGTAGTCTTTCCTAAAAGGAAAGGGAGGAGCAATTTTTGCCCATTTCTCCTTCCAGAGAGTCCCTCAACCTTCTGGAGCAGCTGGGTGGGGGTATAGGGAGCTGAAAATCCAGTACGGAATCTACACAAAATGTCTCCTTCTTGGGTTGCCAAAGGGATTCCTCCACCAGATCAAAAGTCTTCCGTTGTCAGAAGGTTCTCATTGAATGCAATTGTGCCATCACAGCAGAAGTTAGTCTGTTTTTAAACAACAACAACAACAACAACAACCTTGTGTACTAAATTAAATGTTAAAGAAGAGACTCATTCAGGACAATCCTGTACATGTTTACTTAGATGTAAGCCCCACTGTGGCCAATGGGGCTTACTCTAAGAGTGTTTAGGGTTGCAACCTGAAAACTATTTATGAAAAGGCCATTTCACATCAGTTTTAATAAGAAAGAAGGTTCCCTTTCATGCTGTTCTGACGCATGCCTGGCATGGGCTTTCCCACATCTTTCCCCTCGCTTTCCTCCCTCCTGCCCCAGTCCCATCAGGCAGGGAGCAGCAGCATCTGAGGAACCTTCCAGTACAGCAAGGCAATATATTGAGAGGCAATATTTTAAAAGCAATGAAACCAAACAAAAGTCAAGTGGAGAGCAAACAGAACTGCTGTCGAGTTGTGTCTGGGACAATAAAGCAGCTCTAATCTACTGAATCCCCAGTGGAAGGCATCCAAAGTACAATGTGATGCCAGTTTATGTTAACAGCTGGCCTTGAGGAACTTCATGTAGCTCAAGTGCCGATGTTTTGGCAGTGGAGAGAAAACAGTCAGAATAATCACAAAGCTCTGCAAATTGAAACACCGATACTTTCCTGGCTTTTATTTTTTAGGAAGATTAGGCATCTGTAATAGAAGGAAACTGCAGATGCACCATAAAACAGCTGTACAGCTATCCCAGTTGCTACTCATAAATTTTGTTCAACCAGACTATTCTCGTATGACCAAGTATTGTGCTATTTGGCCTCTCGTGGATACAGAAAAGCTCCACAAGAAGCTGGTTAAAAACAGAACTCGTTCCATCCAAACTGAGAGCTAGGTTGCGTTTTAATCTAGAAGGTGCTGTATTGCACTGTGCTTAAGGATTCACTCATCTGAATGGTAATGAGAAGACGATCTTCTCTTGTCTAAATTACACATGCAGTACATGAGAATAGTACTTGTAGAAAATAATCCCTACAAAAATGTTTCATAGAATCAGAGTTGGAAGGGACTCTGAGGGTAATCCAGTCCAACCCCTTGCAATGCAGGAACATTCAGGTGGCCCATATAGGAATCATATTCGTGACCTTGGTATAACAAAACTTTCACGCTCTTTCTAAAGGAGACCTTAATGGGGATCTTTCACAATAATAACTCTCATCATTCTAAAGTATTGGTAGTCAGTGCCAGATTTATGTATAGGCTAAGTAGGCTGAGGGACGCGGGTGGCGCTGTGGGTTAAACCACAGAGCCTAGGACTTGCCGATCAGATCAGAAGGTCGGCGGTTCGAATCCCCGCTATGGGGTGAGCTCCCGTTGCTCGGTCCCTGCTCCTGCCAACCTAGCAGTTCAAAAGCACGTCAAAGTGCAAGTAGATAAATAGGTACCGCTCCAGCGGGAAGGTAAACGGTGTTTCCGTGTGCTGCTCTGGTTTGCCAGAAGCGGCTTAGTCATGCTGGCCACATGACCTGGAAGCTGTCTGTGGACAAACGCCGGCTCCCTCGGCCTATAGAGCGAGATGAGCGCACAACCCCAGAGTCAGTCACGACTGGACCTAATGGTCAGGGGTCCCTTTACCTTTACCTTTAAGTAGGCTGAAGCCTAGGGCCTCTAAATCTAGGGGGCCTCCCCAGCCCACCTGCCCCCCAGCAGGCTGTCTCCCCTCTCCCAAAATTGCAAACCCAAGACTTCATGCGAGGGCAGGACAACTCGGGCCCAGCAACTATAAGACTCAGGGCCAGCCAGTGGGGCCCAATTTGAAACTCTGGGGCCCAACTTGAAATGTTTTGTGGGGCCCCAGTTCACAGCCAAAGTCTGCAGAATCTTAGAGATATAAATAAAATCTAGATTGTCCTGGTGTGTGGGGCCCCTTAGAAGCGGCCCGCGTGGCCCAATTTGGCCCAATTGCTCCAACTGCCTTAAGGCCAGCCCTGATGAGACTGTGCAGGGGTTGGACTGACAAGCCCTGCCCCGTCTAGGTCCCTGGTGCCACTATTCAGAGTACAGACTCCAGAGCTAGCAGGCTCAGAGTCAACAACCAGCTGTGGTAGTGTGTTGTCTGTGATTGACAGAAGTTGGATCCCAGCAAGACCCCAAGGTCCACAGGTTCCCCATCATGGTGTGAAGGAAACTTTTCAACCTGGCCATGTATATTTAACCAACTGCCTTCAACCATGACTCATCTTAATCTTAAAACAACATTGCAATCATCTACAGGTGAACTGCAAAGGGCTGCAAAGAGCTACTTACTATTTTGATTCTGTGACCAGGAGTTGCGCTGATTTCCCATGTGCATTCCTTCCTGCTCGGATATTTGTCAGGCCAGTTAGGGCTTGTGATAATTCCATTGGGACTATGGATCTTTTGTTCACACTCGGCTGCATCAATAATTGACAGAAAGACTGAGTGAGTCTGAATGAACGTGTATACCATGTAAACAGAAAAGCATCATTTCATGGCAATGGCAAAATTGTCTGGAAGTTAATCCAGGGCTAGTAATCCTCCTAATTTCATGGTCACCAACATCACCACTGACAAACTAATTATTTAGTCTAACAAACAATAATCCATAGTTGTAGTTTAGCGTTTGGCTTTGCATTTATGGCAGTGTCCACTACAAATGATACAGAACTTTTCCATAATGTGCCTTGCAACAGGTACAAATGCCCAAATAGCTTGGGCAGCGTTCAGGCAGAACTTGTTTTCCTGATGTTTCCTTAAGAGATATCAGCCACATTTTACGTGATGTTTCACAGCATGTAAAAGCAGCTTCTGGAAATCTGGTGGAAACTACGGGAAATTTAGAGCGTATTTCTGTGTTATGTTTTTCCGGGGGGAGGGAGGGGACTTGTTTGCAACACCCCAAAAACCATGGGAGGTTTGTGCTGTAATCTCACGTGGCAGAATTTGGGGTGGTAATCCCAGTATACAGTTCTTTTTTGTCATGTTAAAATTTAGCGCAATGTGGCAGTGGCAGTATATCTATCAAAAAGCCACAATTTCATAATGCATTGTAAAAGGTCCTTATTAATTGAGACAGGAAGCATGAGTATTACTACTAGTAAAAGTAACACAATAAACCCCATGTCTGAATGCAGGCTACATCTGGCAAAGCTTTCAAAGTAAGCAGCTCTTTCATACTACTGCTTCTTACCTTCCTTGCAGTCGTGTTTGTTTTCATGTAGCACAAATCCATTGCGACATTGACATACATAGCTTCCTACAGTGTTGATGCATTCATGCTGGCAGCCACCATTGTCTTTAGAACATTCATCCTTATCTACAAGATACACAGGACATTCGTTGTGAGTGGAATATCTTCCTCCAGTTTCCAGAATAAAGTATACAATGGTTTAGTTACGTTTAAGTCCAGAAAAGGGAAAAACCAAGGCACTCGTTTTATCCTCTTTGTATGCCCATTCATTGCTCAACCTGCAACCTAGTGCAATGGCCATTCTCAAGCAAATCATTAACACCCAGGTCAACAAACCACTGCCCATATTTAATTTTTAGTGCTAAACCCAAAATGCCTCCCCACTCTTACAGCTCCACCTTCAGGCCACAAAACTGGGGAGGCATTGGGAAATTCCCCCCATCCTGAGGGGAAGCAAAATAAATTCTAGAAATAAACAAGGGACTATGGCTTTACCAAGAAGAGAGGGGTCAATGAAGGTCACCGTAATTTCCACCACAATGCCTTTTGAATGACACTACTGTGGTACCTCGGTTTAAGAACAGTCCTGTTTAAGAACGATTCGGTTTACGAACTCCGCAAAACTGGAAGTAGTGTCCTGGTTTGCGAACTTTACCTCAATCTAAGAACGGAATCCAAAAGGCAGAGGGCGCCTCATTAGGGAAAGCGTGCCTCGGTTTAAGAACAGTTTTGGTTTAAGAATGGACTTCCAGAACGGATTAAGTTCGTAAACCGAGGTACCACTGTACATCCAAGTGAGGCATTTGGGGGACGATGGTGCCATCTCAGTAAACACCCTGCTCTGTGAACATCTAGAATTTCTTATTCCTGATCCCCATATTCTTATTATATTTCTCTCATTTCATCCTGACCCCACCCATTTTTTGGGGGGAGGGGGTGGCACAGAAAAGAAAAGACTCTTGGGGGGGGGGAATGGGCCCATGTCTATAATTTTAAATTATAACTAATTTTCTTTGTTCCAACAATGTTTCACCGGCAGGTGTGGCAGCATCTGAGTTTATGCTGGGTGTTCGACAAAACCTCCCCTTGCTTTACAGTCCCAAACAGGAAGCAAAAACATTGCTGATTAATCCTCTGAAGGGCTGCATTTGGCTTCATGGGTCACGACTCGTGCAGTTCTAATCAGTACTATTTAGATGCACGCAACAAAACAAAACAAAACAAAACAAAACAAAAACAAAAGTATTGAATTTATACCAGTGGCATTTTGGCAGCAGTACCAAAAGTGAGACAAAATAAAATTAGGCTGAACAAGATTCCAAGCTCAGCACATGCTGGTACTTCTTAATAATACATTGTGATTTATTACAGTTTTCCCCTCTCGAGACAGTGACAAAGGCGCTTTGATCACAATGAATCTGGACATGGCATAACACCTTAAAAAGCAAAACATATTTAAACAGTACATGAAAGAAATAGAAGTTATGTATTGCAGGAAAATCTGCAACATGGCAGGCAGAAGTACCCTGTTTGCTGAGTAGTAATCCTCTAAAAATGCTTTTAGTGTGTTAGGCGTAAAGCGGGGTGGGGGTGGGGGTAATGTGAGCTGAACTAAACAGCATAAAAATTCATTTGCAAGGAGAAAAGCCAAACTAGATTAACAGGCAGTCATTCCAGCAAGACAGAGGCATCTGCTGCCCCCATTCAGCTGTTATTATTTTAGGTGGGGCTGATCCATTAAATCAAAACTGGCAAGACTTATTTCTGAAACATATTCAAAATGACACGCCACACTAGATGTTTGTAAGGCCCTCTCTTTTCAGCAAAGCTAAAATAATCAGAGTTGTTGATGGTTATATCAGAGACTGGAGGACAGTGGCACAGTGGAGGCAGAATGAAAAGAAGCAGCGCTCCAGGACTTTTCTCAGAGCAGGAATGACAATGTCTTCTACTGGAGTGATAAAGTTACCAGCAGGCCTTCCTTGCCATGCGGCGATAACAAGGCTTTCAAGTTCATTAGCTGCAGATTAGTATAGAGGAACTGATTCACACAGAGAATGAAGAAGCTCACCAAGCTGAGGGTGGGTACCTCTTTCTTTTTACTCAGATAGGGCTCCTACTTCATGCCAGCTGTGTAAATTGTGACACTTATTTGCGAGCTGGCTGGCATTTCTGGTTAAAAGTGAACGGGCTGTGTTTCAGCTGGCTGAAGGTATTTTGTTAAAGTTTGATGTGTTTTACAGATGGAACAAAAGCAGCTCAGCTGGTGGGGCAGAGACGCAGTGATAACTTCTGGGCAGCGTCATCACAGCTACATACCAAGAGGGAGAGGTGGCAGAGAGCTCAGGACTGTGCAGTCACACTGGCAAAGCCTTTCTGGCACTGCTGCCAGTGTGTGCCCGCACAGCCCTGACTCCCTGCCACCTCACCCCCTCTCCATTTCAACAAGTGGCAGCAACATACCTGCCAGGAAGGTAGCTTTGCAACTGAATGCCACTGGCTGAGCCACTTCTGAAATTAAACCTATAAAGTGTGAAGTGAGCCCCACTGAGTTCAACTGAGCTTACGCCTAAGGAAACTATGCATAGGAGTGCAGTGACTGTGACTGGGCATTAAGCTACGTATTGAAATGTGTGTGTGTGTGTGTGTGTGTGTGTGTGTGTGTGTGTGTGTGTTTAGGTGCAATGCATTAATTGCATTTTAGGACTCTCCCTGGGGAAGTATGGCTAATAGGGGCTGGATATAGCACCACAATGCTGTTACAGAAATGCATACTTAGGGAGGCAAAGCCCTCCCCTTCATTAGGACACAGTAAAGGAAGTGTTATTGTTTGAACAAGACCAGCATGCAGTTATTTTATGTCATAGTTGGTACAGCCAAAATCACTGCACATGCGCAAGCTGCCTTTTACCATCAGTTTCTGGCAACAGCTTTTTATTTGCCCTGTGTTCTCTGTCCCTCTTCTTTAACTGAAACTTGCGTACAGTAATCCAAAGGAACAAAATAGCTGCATTGTCCAGCACTCCAACATCCTACATGCTGAAATGTATGACCCACACACAGTGGCGTAGCGTGGGTTGTCAGCACCCGGGGCAAGGCAAGTAATTTGCGCCCCCTAACCTGTGGATTTGCGCCCCCTAACCCTAACCCCCAGATGTTGCGCCCGGTGCGGCCGGGCCCCCCTGCACCCCTCACGCTACGCCACTGCCCACACAGACTCCTCTTCAAGAAGCTTGGAGGGATTTCACACATCATCAGTTATTGGAAATAACTCTCTCTAGTCCTCCTTTTCCTGCAGGTATTTTCTCTCTCTCTCTCTGTTTCACCACATGGGGAAGCCTTTGTGAAAACTACATAGGATTCTCACTTCCTGGCGAGAGTCCCTTCTCTAAGCTAATGACACAAGCTTTGTGTCACCCTACAACAAAACAAAGAAAAGGGACCAAGTTCTATGCAAAGTTTCTGCTGGCCCAATACAAATGTGGTCTGCCAGCAGGCTACTGACTTGCAGGGAAAATGTTAACTAATCTAAATGCTAGACTGCAATTTAATGAAATAGAAATGTGCCATTTACATTTGTGATCGTGCAGGTATCAGGAAAGCCAGCATCCGAAGAGCCCCTGTGTATACCCAAGGAAGCCTAGAAGGCTGTGATGCATGCAAAGAAACCCTACATGCAGACTTTGGACTCCAGCCAAAACAAATGAGCATTAATTGGGGGAAAGATTCCAACTTAGACTGTTGAAGTTCATCCTGAACCCTAGAGCAACAATACAGATATACCCATTTAGTGTGAGGAAGCTTGCTTTTTATCTCTTTAGAAAGCAAACCTGTGACAAATTTTCTCCTGCAAAAGGTAATGGGGAAGGCAAACAGAGAACTGACCAGGGAATGGTGACCTTTCTAGCATTTCTTCTCCTTAACAAGCAGTTGTCTAACAAACTGGTCAAATGTATAGAAAGTGAGCTCAAAAGTACTTATTACAAATAGCAGGTCCATGAATAAAGAGCTCTAATTTCTCAGAGGCTATCAAAGCCCTCTCTGTTCAATCAAAATACCTGAAATGGAAAAGTCATGTTTGTGTATATTCCGTCAAAGGCTGTTTTGCTCAAGGTATATCTGCTTTATTGAAACAAATCTTTTGTTCCCTCTCTAGTGGTGTTGTATAATGATCACAGGACAGAAAGTGAAACTTCAGCAGAATACAATAGTTTGGCATGGTTAGTGAATGGTGCAGCAAAAGTCTTATCTACATTTTACATAAGCCAGTGTAGATTTTCCATCATGTGCATTCCAAATTGAAAATCTTAGAAGGGGGAAAAAATTAGTGATTAGTTAGAGAAACAAATGTTTTGCTGACTAAATGCAAACCATTTGTTGTGCTCAAGAGATGGAACTCTGTCTCCCAGTTTTGAATGGATCCTTTGTGTATTTCTCTCTGTCAGTAATTATAAAAGGGAAAGATCCATTCTCAGCAATATGTTAGATTTTAACCATTCACAAGACATAAGGTCATACCTCTGAGACCCTCAGAGGCCAGTCTGTGAATTATACGTACTTGGCCTGAAGGGGCAACCTCTATCAAGTCCTTGCATGATTCAAAAACAAAAATTTTCTCCTTGCAGGCAGCTCTCTTGTCTGTAGGAAAAAATGTACCAGGATGGCACCAAAAATGAGTGACTGAGTGATTCTTCAAACATCAATCTGCTCAAGGGCAGTTTCATTATAACTTTTCATCTGTTTATAGTAACATGATCATCGCTATTCTACAATCCCACCTCCTCTGCCAATATACAGTCATATAGGATAATAAAATGAATTCATTTTCAGAATGGAACAAAACCAATTATACAAAACTGATCATACAAAGAACAAACGTCACTGGAACACTGGAACTTTAGCGGTTAAACAATGTCTTTCAGCTTGGGATTAAACAAACTAATTAATAAGATGTTGTTGTTGTTATTGCTATTTTAAAGAATTAAACTTATAATACTTCATTTATTTATAAAAGTTTCTTTTTGGGGGGTGAAGTAGAATTCTGTGTTTACTCTGCTCTGAACCCACTGCAGTCTATCATATGTTAATATTTCTTCTTATGTATCCAATGATCCTCTAGATTTGGTTTCCTACTATATTTTTTCCTATTAAAACTTTCACAGACTCTGGACTTTGAAGCTGTCACTCAGTGTCAAACTGGACCGCAATGCAGGGGATCTATGATTAGGATTTTCTGTGGATTATTCTGAAGTTTGAAGGTCTTGGGAGGATTTTATTGACGCCATGTTAGCTGGGTAGAGGGATTCAACCCTTCGATCTGAGCTATTTGCTCTGTATAAATACACCCAGAGCTGCTATTCACCCTGAAAGGGAAAATACGGAGGGAACCTTTCACCCATATGGGTGAATAATAGCTTATGGTAGAAGGGTTTAAATAAGGAAAATGGAAGTTGAAAAGGGTTAAATCCCCACTCCTAGGGCTATAGTCCCAGGCCAATTCTGCCATCTTCTTTGTTCTAATCAAAAAACTCTATTGATCCCATGATTCTGTTTCCTAACTGAGCTGTAGAAATCCAACCAGATGGGCATGTTTTCATATAATTCACCTTTCCAAATTAAATTTTTTTATTCTTTATGATTCATAGGATCTTTATTTCATTACTATTAGCACATACACTACAATAGTCACAATAATAGTCCTTCAGAATCTGACTTCAGTGGCCTGATAAGCAACCTGACTTCTAACAAATGACTTCTAACATATGAACTTACACTGCCTCTTGTAAGCATAAAGTCATCTTTGTATACACTGTTAGATATTTTTCAAAAGATGTCAGTGCTTTAAATTAGTATCCTGAATATGCCATCTGTATATTTCTCATAGCGTGTTTTTGGCCTAGAAGTTTCTGCATGTAGCCAAGAAAAGATTACCAATGGTGTTATTTCAGTGGGAATGTTTAGCTATATTCATACTATAGTAGCAGTTATTCAGCTCTCCATTCAGCATTGATGTCCAGGAAATGCTATTTCCAACAGCGTCTGGCGTACAGGATTAGATTATGCTATCAACGCTACTAATTATTAATGTTAAATTGTTAGTGAGATTCAGTAATCACTTGAATAGTCCCACTGCCCTCAGCTGCATAATCGTCTCCTACGCTCTTCAATGGCTCCACCCATTATCTCATTTTTGTCTCTACGCCTGGAAATTCCTTCCAGAATGCCTACCCACAGTCTTTCCTAGAAAATTCCTCCCTCCAAAAAATCAGTTTTCCCCTGAAGCTCTTGGCTTAGGGGGCAATCCTTAGGGAGAGATCAGATCCGCTGAACTGAGCAGCTTAGCATACAGAAGATCTCTAGCTCAGGGGGTTCCCCAATCCTGGAGGTAAACTGGGGGGGGGCTGGAGGGAGCAGACTTACAATGGATCCCAAGTCTGTTTAGCTTGGTCACATGACCTGGCAACCCAGTCTAAATTAAGCTGCCCAAAAGGGTGGTGTAACTCAAAACACACAATGGACGTCAGTGGCGGGGACCTGATCCTCAGGAGCAGGCTCAGCTGGCAGCCCTGGCCACACTGCCATGATAGACAACTCAGGATTTGATATAACTCCCGGCCAATTGCACAGCCAGAACCGCAGGATATAAGCTGCACATCTCCCAGCCTCACTTCATTTTACTTCAGTCTTCCGGCAATAAGGTGAAGCCCACTCAGGAGAGGGGCTCAGGCACTTTGCGCTTGGGAAATCCGCTCCACAAAAACTGGACACTTTGAGCAATTGTCTAACAGAAACCAAACACCCCAGGAATGGAAACAATGTGTTTATGCTAACATGTCTCTTCCAAGCTTCTTTTCCCAGCAGTAATGAGGCAGCTGCAGTCTAGAGCAGGGGTAGGCAAGCTAAGGCCCAGGGGCCAGATCGCCTTCTCAATCTGGCCCACAGATGGTCCAGGAATCAGCATGTTTTTACATGAGTAGAATGTGTGCTTTTATTTAAAATGCATCTCTGGGTTATTTGTGGGGCACAGGAATTCGTTCATTTCCCCCCTCAAAATAAAGTCCGGCCCACCACATGGTCTGAGAGATAGTGGACCGACCCATGGCTGAAAAAGGTTGCTGACCCCTGGTCTAGAGAGTCAGGAAGGAGTCACAAGGAGTTGCAGCCATGGAGACAGAAAACAATATCATACTAGGAGGGGGATCCCCAGGAGATGCCTCAACAACACCCCAATTCCTTATGTGGATGGCCAGTAATAGCCATCCTCTGCAGTGGTCAGCCCAGCCTTCCAAACAGCCCCGCAGTGCCCAGGACTACTGGTCACTCTGGGGTGTGAAGAAATGCCAAGCCCCCCACCCCAAACAAACTCCACCTCCCTGCCCTGACTACAACATGCTTTGGGATTGCTTTGCACGGCATCTGGAGTACCAGGACACCATGGATACATGGAGGGGTTGACAGTCCCAATGGGGGTTCCTCCCCATAAATTTGGGATTTCAGCCTGCAAGGTTGAATATTGTTTAAACTTCAGAAATGAGCAGGTATTTTCTGAAAGGACGTTCAAAATTTAACTCACTGTGAGCATTTGGTGTTATACACCATCATAAAAGAATCCAAACAATTTGTTGTAGTAAAATAAGAAGCTAACTTCATCAGATGGGCCTATCTTCTGTGTTTTGCAGAAAATACATATACAGTGGTACCTTGGTTGTCAAACTTAATCCATTCCGGGAGTCCGTTTGACTCCTGAAACTGTTTGACAACCAAGGCGCGGCTTCCGATTGGCTGCAGGAGCTTCCTGAAGTCAAGCAGAAGCCGCGTCGGACGTTCGGCTTCTGGAAAACGTTCGCAAACCAGAACACTTACTTCCGGGTTTGCAGCATTCAGGACAACCAAGGTACAACTGTACAGACATTTCTGTGTATAGCTAGGAAATACAGAACCATCATGTTAGTTCATCTATGAATCTCTCATTTAATTGTGAGGTTTCTAAGATGAGTTTAGGGGAAGGGGAAGTATGGAATGGTGGGTAAGCAATATTATCATCACAGGAAGGGGTTAGAGACACTGGATGTCTTGCTCCTTCTCAGCCAACCCTCAACAGAGATTTGAGTAGCTATGTTGACCTGTCCTCTCATCTGGTGGTGCCATTATTTAAGGCCACATCCAACCACTGTAAAATAACTCTGATCATGGACAAAGTTTGCTAGGGGAGCCTGTCCTTACTCAGCTTTGCCTGCTTGGGTTTTCTTCTTTTGCGAAGCACCAGATGAAGTTGGAGGGAAGGGATGTGTGGCAGTAATCCATAGGGGGGGGACCATAAATTTCACCAGGAAACCACTCCAAATGTAATAGCTGGATGTGAGGGTTTGCATTTGATGTTGGGTTATGGAGAAAGGAGATCTTGTTAGTGTACCACCCACTGCATTGCCAACCACCTCCCTAACTGAGCTGGCAGAGGTGGTTTTGGAGTACCCCAAAATATTAATCTTGGAGGACTTTGATATCCATGCCAATTCTGCTTTGGCTGGGCCAGCTCAGTACTTCATGACCACCATGACAACCTTGAGGCTGTCTCAATTCATTGTGTCAGAAACACAACATAGAGGATTGCAAGGGATATAGTGGTTAGAACAGGGGTTGGTTGTCATCACGTTGACATGGATGGACCCCAGTGAAGTTTGAACTGGTAGTGACTAACCCTCCCTGCAGGGGCAGGTGTACAGGCTGATCTGCTCCCAGAGACTGATAGAATCTGGTGGATTTTTGAATGTTCTAGGGAATTTAGCAATCCTTGGCTTAGATGTATAATTATTAAACTCTGCTTTGCTTTAATGGCTCGATGATGGCAATCCAAAATGGCATGCTACAGAAATGTAATATCCCTTTTGACCACCTACACTACACAATAAATAAGAATAACTCTGAATATAAACGTTTAACTGTAAGTAAATAAAGTTCTTTATAAGTCTCCATGAAACAAAGCACATATTTATCTGAGTCTGAGATTTTCTTTCCTGGTCTGCTAACATTTCTAAACAATCATAATTATTTTAAGAAACCCGCCCTTCAGGTCTGCAGTCCTTTAACCTTCTTGTCTTTACAAATTATAACTTCTGTCAGATTACTTATCTGCTTTCTTGAATTTCTAAGTAACAACACACAGGCTGTAGTAAATCATCCAGCTATTAGAGAAGCCGACCAGAGTGGAAACACCTTTACTTACGCTAGATAACATTTTATCAAAACTACAAGGGGGAAACTGTTGCAGTTAATTAAGTATTGAATTCTTAAGGAGCACAATCCATTGAGATATTCCCCTGCTCAAGTTCCAATGCTATATATGGGAGCTGCTTAAGGAGCCCCGCAAAAAAGTTTCAACAGTGGATCTCCGCTGTAATCTGTGGTCAAAGTCTTTAGGGTAACATACAAACATCACTTTGGAACAGGCAATCATTTTGAGCAGAAACATTTAAAAATTTAAAATGAAAGACACAGCAAGATTACTGTCCATCAATTGAAAGTGCATGACTTTAAGATATAGGACTCAAACTATAATCATTGATACAGTGTGCAATCTAGCCCAGACATCCTGATTATTGTTATTCAACCAAAGTGATTTTAATCTCCATTGCCTTCGGTGTGCGGGATTTAAGCACATACTGAAATCAATTGGATTTCAAGTAGCTTAACTACTCCTGCAGGCTGTTCCAAAAGCTAGCTAAAATGGAAAAGCGAAACTACATTCTATGACTGAAGGCCTTGACTCTTAGAATGTCATTTACAGAACAATAAAGGTAAAGGTAAAGGGACCCCTGACCATTAGGTCCAGTCGTGGCCAACTCTGGGGTTGCGGCACTCATCTCACTTTATTGGCCAAGGGAGCCGGCGTACAGCTTCTGGGTCATGTGGCCAGCATGACTAAGCCGCTTCTGGTGAACCAGAGCAGCACACAGAAACACCATTTACCTTCCCGCCGGAGCAGTACCTATTTATCTACTTGCACTTTGACGTGCTTTCAAACTGCTAGGTTGGCAGGAACAGGGACCGAACAACGGGAGCTCACCCCATCGCGGGGATTCGAACCGCTGACATTCTGATCCTAGGCTTTGTGGTTTAACCCACAGCGTCACCCACGTCCCTTACAGAACAATACACCACCACTATTCCAATCCACTCGGATAGAGGGGTTTGGGATGACGTAGAAGTGGTCCTTCATTCAGCCTTGCCTGGTTGTTGGCAAAGGAGCTCTACTGATAAGAAGGGCCACAAGGCAGCTGCCCAAATGCAGAAACCCCTGTAATGAAGGGTGTTGGGTGCAGGAAAGGAAGGAGTTGGACTGGGACATGATGGCAACACCTCTTTGCTGCACCAGACTGGGAGCTGACATAGCAAAGAGGCATTCTTCCTCTTCCAGCCTGGCTGAGGTGAGTCAATGGATGTAGCTGGGGCTATGGCACTCTGCTAAGCCTCACCATGGCCAGCCAGGGATTCGGATTGCAGTTTTAGGAATCTACTTATTTCAGGGTTGTTGTATTAAAGATGGTTTATTTACTTAAAACGGAAAAGAAATGTCTTTGGCCCAATACACAAGTTTGTTTTAGTGTATCGGGACTTCATGTCAGGGGTCATAAGGCTTCTGTCTTGATAAAGGGGGGATCTTTCCTGCTTCCTAGGTGCCACAAATATTAACATCATCAAACTCTTTTGATTGCCTCTTCAACTTCCACTTAGCCCTTAGTAGAGCTCAGACTCTTTATGAAATTTGACCTGTGGTATCATATGCATGAGCCACATTAACCTCTTCCAGAATGTGCAACCAGGACAAAGTATTTGGACATGTCAACTTAGCCATAAAGATTTCCCATCCCTAAAATTATTAGAGCAGAAAGCGCAGGTAAGGAAGGGAGATTTTTTCTTTCTCTGAAATTTCATGTAAAAAAGGTATCTGTTTGGGTAAGTGCCCCTTTTATATCATGCTTCTCTACCCTGCTTGGCAGGGGGTTGGACTCGGTGGCCCTTGTAGTCTATTCCAACTCTATGATTCTATGATTCTATGACCTTTCCTAGGTGGAGAAACTTTAGAAAACAGAAAAGGGTATTTAATATGAGTACCAAAGTGATACTAAATCAAAGATCCATTTATAATGTGATACCCAATGTTGTACAAGAGGAAATCTATTCAAGCAATGACACTCGCTTCCTCTCCTTTCCTGAAGACCCCTACTCGCCCCCTTAAAGCTGCTCTGACGTCCATTCTGTTTGCAGGCAGATTCAAATAGATACCATTCATATTCTTTCTAAAAGAAAGCTAGCATACTAGGACCATAAATGAGATATTCAGAATCTGGTCAGGTATGTTCCCCTTCATGATCTTCCTCTTTATGATCATTATGGCTGTCTAAATCTTACAATTAATATTATATTTGTTTTATTGAGTAGAAAATTGAAACTAAACATGTTAAGAGAATGTTCATTCATCAGCATCAATGAGCAAAAATTGCAAGCAAAAACTTTCCCTAGATTATGGACACCATAAACAACACACAATTCATAGAGACTGCACCCAAGATGTTTGTTTTAATACCTGAAAAGAAGTGAGCCTTGAAACCCTTTTTTGAGACTGTGTTATCCGACCTGAACTCGATTCTCATGTTGTTATATTGTGATGTGATAACTTCAGGCACTTCTGTACCACAAAATTTGCCATGCAGTTTGGAATCAGAAGAAAGGCCACTACGGATTTCTACATAATCATATTTACACACCTGAGAAATGAAAGATCCCGTATTAGTCAAATAATAAGCCATATTTTGCATTTATATTTTATCTATAACCTCAGATATAGATAAAAATAGACTGACTTTACAACAATTTGCTGCTTTTTTCTGAATTTTGCTCACACAACATTGCATTTTACCCACCATGAATAGTTTTACTGGAGGCCTCTGGGGTGAAGAGACCAGAGTTAACATTGTATCATATTATGATAATATTTAATATTTCCTTTAACTAACTACAAACCCCGGGATCCTAGTCTAGTTAAGCTGTTTGAGAGTGTAAGGAGTTTTTTTGCATGACTTTTTAAGCAGTCCAGGAATATTCCCAGGCAATGAAAGAAAGGATTACAATGGCCATTTTTTCACTCCATGCAATACGGTACCATATTTGTAAGACGTATGTATGCTTAGAATTTGACAATTCTACCACTATTGATTATGTAATTAGGCATTAGTATCTGTCTTCAGTTAACTTACTTCATTTCCTTCCAATTCAAAAAACTCAAACTTCACTGAGATTCTATATTGGGTGGGAGCAACCACCTGCCACACACAGTTTTTATTAGGAGGATATTCTTTGGGCCATCCTGGTGTTGTTATAGTCCCATTCAACTTTGTCAAAAGTCCTCCACAAGCCGCTGAAACAAAAGAGAAAGAAATCCTATTACTTATTTATAGACCCAAGAAACCACATTTTGGGAGATGGACGGATTGCTCATATGGCAATATGGATCAGACAGACCAAACCAGAGACCCTCACAATTCAAAGCCAGTTCATACTGCCTCCTGGCATCTATATAATGCATGTGGCAAAATGTGGAAGCAAGCTTGGGCTCTCGTACATGTTTGTTCTGCACAACACACAGCACATCTTGTGTGAAATATGTATGTAAATCTGCTCTGTCACCATGATCCAGCCTCCTCCCATTTTTTAAAATAGACTGATTTTGTAGCAAGGCATACTTGCATACTAATAAATCACATATGCATGAATGCATTTTGTGTGAATCAATGCCTATTTTATACATTTTGAAGAAGAAGCTGACTCCCCATGCTTTACCATTTGAAATCTGGGGGTACTGTGAAAATCAGTCCACAGAGAAAAGAAGCAAGCTTTTATTAGAATGTTCTTCAACTGAAGTTGAGATCCATCAGTACATATGACATGCACAGTAATAACATACTAAATTTCCATGCAAAGTTCATATTGTATACCAGCACAATTATGTCTGTCTCTTGACTTTCAGTTCTTGAACTTCCATTTTAGTGTATGAACATTAAACCTACAGACTCCACATATTTCAAATGCATATTTACAGACATACATACAGTAAGCCTGCAACTTAGGTGGGGCTCAGGTTCCAGGAATTGCACCTAAAGCTGAAATCGCATACAGTCATGCCTTGGATGTTGAATGGAATCGGTTTCTGGGAGTCCGTTCAACTTCCAAAATGTTCAGAAACCAAAGCGCGGCTTCAGATTGGCTACAGGAAGCTTCTGCAGCCAATCAGAAGCAGCACCAGATGTTTCCAAAAGAACATTTGAAAACTGGAACACTGGTTTAGATCGTTCGGGAGCTGATTTGTTTGGGAGCCAAGGCATTTGAGATTTAAGGTAAATTAAAGTTACGAACATAAGTTGCGAGCTTATTGTACTTAAAAAGGCTTTCCTGTCTGAAATAACATACCCGAATTCACATTCACATAGAATATGTTGAGCTGCTAAATGATCACCACATGCAATTATGGCAGACTTTTGTAAAGCCACCATACTACCTTTTATTTGGTCACTGTTTTGACACGTATCTGTTATGTGGTTTATAAAGACACATGCACAAAGTCAGTCTTGACATAGACTCTTGGTGCACAAGTGAGTTTTGGCATTTCCAAGCTCCTAAATCTAGGCCTGAGTAAGCCTATCATGAAATAAAACTACAGAATCTTTGAGACACAGAGCAGCCTTACCTTCACAACTCTTCTTGTCAGGCCCAAGCTCATAACCTGGATCACAAGCACACTGATAGCTGCCCAGTGTATTCACACACCGTTGTTCACATCCACCATTGTCAGGTTTGGCACATTCATCTTCCTCTGTGAAGAAATGGAAGGACAGAATTGCATTTACTTATCCATTTCATAAAATTTATACACCGCTTGATTGTCAGAAAAACCTCAGAGCGATTTGCAAAGAGATAAAATCGTAAAATCAGGAAAACAATTGCAATACAGCAAAACATACGGGAAGTTAAAATATTAAAACAGATCCAAATTCAAATCAGCCTTAAAATAAAATCATTGACTTCTTTGTCTCTTGACTATAGTGTAAACACAATGACAGCCCATCGGATTATTTCCCTATAATTCAGATTGTATTAAGCTTCTAGCTTTAGATTTATTATAAGTGCATGATCCTTCCTTGCACAGACACTGTAGCTGTTTGTGGAGGGCTCTCCAGAAGGCTGCTTCTCCCTTCGGAGTGGAGATGCAGGCACTCAGCATTCCAGGCTGCTTTGGTAAATAAGAGGTCTGTGTTTGCCTCCCAAATCCCTGTCTAGACTTCTCCTCTCCTTTTGGTCCAGGGGCACAAGTACTCAGCTTTCATCCCTTGACTAATAAATATAGAGGGCGACCTGCATCTCTTTGTGGGATGTAACATAAGCAGTCAAGTACAACACTTCCTGTTTGCCCAGAGTGGACACACAGGGGTATGTTACTCCAGCCAGGAGGACATCCTGTCACACCTGGTCTGAAGCATCCTCCCCCTGCGTGTGACCAGGTAGATGGGCGTGATCCTGGGAGACCCCATAAAAGAGCTGGTCACGCTTCCATCTTCCCTCCTCCTCCTTCGTTTTATTCCAGCCTGATACTTTTGCTGTGTGCTAGCTCTCAACCAGCGGCACATGGGCTCATTTCCCTACATGGAATGGACCCACTCTCTTTTCTGTAACTACAAGCTAAAGCCTGCTTTCAGGGAACCTACTGCGAACTGAATGTAAGTAAACTTCTTATCATTGCTTTTAAAGAAGACTGCTGTGTCTTTATTCTTTTTAAGAGGGAACAAAGGGGATTTGCTAGGATCAAACCCAATCTGGACAAGCCATATTGGAGTGCTTAAGTAAAGAGATTCAAACGAATCTACCAACTGCTATATATTGGGGAATGCACTCTGTTACTGACTCACTAGCTTGAGTGAGGAAGGATAATATTTAATCAATATACCCTCTCCTACTATCCACAATGTTCCCACACTCTTTTGATGAGAAACATGCATTGGCATCCCATCTCTGTACAGCTTGGTCTGGGGCCTGAGGTGGGGCATCCATTTGCACACAGGTATTGTACTCTACACCTGTGTGTAGAAGGTTCATGCCCTAAGAATTGTGTTGCAGATATGAAATAATTTAGGTTGCAGGAATTAAAGGTTGTGTAAAATACTAAGAGAAAAGGCTGAAAATCCAGCAGGGTCACTCAAAGGGCACTTTATCTCCAACAGAACGAATTTATACATTATCTTGAATTTTATACTCAAACCCAGATTAACTGAATCCTCAAATCCCACATTTTTATTCTACTGATATTAAAGGAAACAAGATGCAACAGAGAGAAAGAGGGAAACGTAGAATACAGTATTATCTCTACAAGCAGCATGACATACTTATGAACATTTTAGTCATCATTTCTTTCATCACTAGTTCTCTTGATTTCGGTAACAGTGGGTTCCGAATCATCCATTTAAAATAGGTAATAAAAGCATACACCTGAGACATGGGTAATACTTATAGAGTAGCAAATACGAAAGACAGCTGATCTCCTGTCTCTGTTTGATTTTGTGATAATAGTTAAGTATTTGATACAGAATCATGGTATGTCTTATGCTTTATGTGTTGCATTATTTTCATAAAAGAAAAGAAGAACAGTTGATATTGAATAAATGTGTAAAATGTATACCTCTGTGGTTTGGTAATGTTTATATGTGTGCATGGCTATATGAGAGGGCACATATTAAGCAAGATAAAATTTTGATTACTTATCAAGGTCTGTAGAGAGGTTCTTTTTTATTTTCGGGAACAAATCTTAGCCCCCTTCTCATCAAAAGGTTCTTAAAGCATCATCACAAATAAAATAAAGATACAATAAAGCTGCAGAGTGACTGGGTAAAATGAAAAGCCGGCATTAAACAAGATGAAGCATTAAAAGCCTCTGTAAAAGCCTATACTTCGAAAAGTGACAAGTTCTCAGATGCGCTGCACAGCACTGGGAAGCAGGTTCAAAAGCCACCACTATAAAGGCACATTGGCACTCAGCAGTGGCTCTCAGTCTTATAGATGATAAGACCACCAAACAATGAAAGAATAGGAAGCTAAATTCAGACAAAAGTGCTACTGCTTTGGATATTCCAGACCAAAAAATAAGCTCTAGTGCCTTGAATTCAGCACACAAACAGTGAAGTTCATATAAAACAAGTGTTGTGTATTTCCTGTGGGTAAAACAAGATATTTAAATTTTAACACACTGAAAATTGGCATTTTCTTCTGAATTGCACCCTCAAGTGCAACTAGACTCTCACTTTCCAAAACTGGTACCTTTAAAAAAGTTAGCAGCAAACCCTGCTTTGTTGACTGTTCCATCAGAAACAAACTTCATCCACAGGGTATTAGAGGTAGATCTGATGTCTTCAGGTTTATCATAGCCACAAAAATGGCCAATCAAAGGACTGCTTTCACTGGTTCCATCTCGGACTTCTAAGTAATCATAGGCACAGTTGTCATGTCTCTCAATCTGCAAATACAAAGCAATACATGACCAATATTATAGCTGGTCCTTTTCCTGCTACTCAATGTAAAGCACATTTTTAAAAACCTTACTTTGGGGGTTCAGCATATCATTGAGTTTCACTGTAAACCTGATAATTATGTAGAGTTTTGTTTTGTTTTTTCAATTCCAAGGGATTGTGGTATAGCATTGGCCAGTGCAAAAGCACATGAGGTTTTGCAGCAATACACATCTTACAAATGAAGCTAATTTGTAAAATGAAATGAAGGACATGTTCAAATCAAGAGTTAAACTGGTATAAGAATCAGAGGCATGGTATGAACTTGAAGCAGATACACAGCTAAGTCAGGTGAAGGAAAAGAAATGAGTATTGGGGGTCCAGCAATTAAGGAAGGGTTTCACTCATTTGAATATACTACGGTTGCTTCTGGTTATCTCAAATACTCTGGTGGTTTGAATAACGATCTGAAGCAACACTGGCTACCTAGCAGTACACATATACATACATCAAAGACAGCATAGATCTTTGACCTAGTGATGGACAATGAAACATTGAACATATGTTACCGGTCATTGGTCCATCATGCCAGCTTTGTCCTACTTGATAGGCAGTAGCTTTTTAGCCTTTCAAGCAAGAGACTTACTCAACCAACCTGCCTGAGATCCTTTATCTGAAGATGTTGGGAGCTCAACTCATGCCAGTAAACTTGTAAAGTCAGCACCCCACCACTGAGCTATGCACAAAGGGTTCCAGTAGCTCAGTGAAAAAGTTATAACTTTGGCCTCAGCTTTCAGGCCAGATTATTGTCATGAAGTTGGCTGCCTATGCTCTGATCCCTTGAGATTTCCATTCTCTAAGCTCCCATTGTTTTAAACATCTGCTGTGAGGATAAGGGATCAAGCTTATATAATAGAAAAATGCAAAAAGGTTATTCCAAACTGGAATGCAAATATCACATACACCAGCTGTAAATCTCAACCCCATGCATAAAGTATTAATGACTAGCCTTATGAAATCCCGTTTGAATACATTATATTTATGTTTCTCTCTCTCTCTCTCTCTCTCTCTCTCTCTCTCTCTCTCTATATATATATATATATATATATATTATTGAACCCTAGGAGAGTATTCAAATCATTCTATAAAAAAATATTTTCCTGACCCAAAACATGATATATAGCTCACAACTAGAGTTACAGGCTTATTCAGCAGTACATAGCTTATAGCAGCAAATGACACATAGAGGTATTCTGTAGAAATGTCAAAAATAAAATTAACAGCTCTAGGATAATTTGTAACAATTTGGTGGGAGGAACACTAATATTTATCTCTGAATAATAGTAACATTCATTTGTTTAATTAAAAAAAAGAAAAGATATACATTTAGGAAAGAAATAATAGGCCTATTATTTAATAGATTCCTAATGCAGCCTTGTGGAACAGGATTAGTCATTTGTCAAAAGAAACTATTGTCAGTTTTTAAAAAAAATATTCCAATTTAAATACTACAGATAACATAAAATCCCTTTAATCTTCTTGAAGTTTATGCAATGGGAAAAGTCTCAGTGAAAGGAAATATTAACTATAGGGGTTACATTATATAGAGAATGCTTTGTTTCTTCATTGGCTTAATGAGGATTCCCTTAAATGTCACTGTCACTTATCCACAGATGGTTTGCTCAGATCAGTTTAAAAGGCTTTACCTCAAATGCCTGAAAGGTTAATCCGACATTGTAGTTCTCTGACACTGTTATTTTCCACACACATTCCTTCATTGGTCTGTAGTCATCAGGATAATTAGGAGACTGGATCTGGCCTTCATTCTTGTGTATTTCACCTCCACAAATTGCTGAAGAATACATAAGAATCAGGCTGAGCACATTTTCAAATTTTTCATTATTAATACTGAAAAAACAAACCTACATTTCATTGTTTAGCAATGCCTGGAAGAGGTACAATAATATAAATTAAAACCAAAGGGTCTAAGCAAATAAACCGATAACAAGAAGAGATAATACCACAGCAAAAACTGATTTTGGGGGGTAAATAAGTAAGCTTTTGTAATTTAAAAAACACACACATACACACACAGCAATGTCCATAGCAATAACAGTATCAAAGTCTGTTCAAGCCAATTAACCTCCTATTAAGACCTTACAAATAGCGGGGGAGAGATGGCAAGCAAAATGCAAGGGAGATAGTAAAAGATACAGGAAATTGAATGAAGATTTCCAAAAAATAGCAAGGAGAGACAAGAGGGCCTACTTAAACAAGCAATGCAAAGAAATAGAGGAAAACAACAGAATGGGAAAAACCAGAGATTTGTTCAAGAAAATTGGAGATATGAAAGGAACATTTCGTACAAAGATTACCATAATAAAGGACAAAAGTGGAAAGGACCTAACAGAAGCAGAAGACATCAAGAAGAGGTGGCAAGAATACACAGAGGAATTATACCAGAAAGATATGGATGTCTCGTACACCCCAGGTAGTGTGGTTGCTGACCTTGAGCTAGACATCCTGGAGAGTGAAGTCAAATGGGCCTTAGAAAGCACTGCAAATAACAAGGCCAGTGGAAGTGATGGTATTCCAGCTGAACTATTTAAAATTTTAAAAGATGATGCTGTTAAAGTGCTACACTCAATATGCCTTGAATAAGAATTCAGCCTTGTAAGAATTCAGCATTAAATTGTTGGCCTTTATCCAGCCCATCCAGGGCCTGTGCACCCTTGGCTAATGTCTTCTAAAAGTTGCATAGTTATTTTTCTCATTGACATCTGATGGGAGGGTGTTCCGCAGAGCGGGTGGGACTACTGAGAAGGCCCTCTGCCTGGTTCTCTGTAGCCTCGCAGTGAGGGAACCACTAGAAGGCCCTTGGAGCTGGACCACAGCATCTGGGCTGAATGATGGAGTGGAGACGCTCCTTCAGGTACAAATTTGTTGTATTTCTTTTATGCCTGCCCTGATCTGTCTCTGCTGTTTTACTTTGTATTGTAATTTTACCGTTGTTACACACAGTGTGTATAAACTTCAGGCTGGATTGCAGCCATAGGACATGACCCAGCAGCTTCAATGTCTGAACCAAAACCCCACTGATGCCGGGACTTCCTTTTGTCATCTATGAGAGGGAAATGCTTGGCACCCACAATGGGAAATATCTGTGCTTTGCATGGAACATTCCCTTCTCAGAGGAAAGGAAGTCTCTTAGCATGCAGAACTTGGTCAGCTGCCACAGTTTATATGTTGATTAAGAATTGAAAAATGTCATTACTACTGTTCAGAACAAGCCCAGCCTTCTGAGAGGTTTGGGCACATAAAGAACATTAAAATAAATTAGAGTTTTGCAAGAGAACAATCATATTATCCAACTAGATAAGAAGCACCTGACAGTACTTCAGGATCAGAATTTGGGAATCCTAGACCGCTATGGCTAAAGAAAAAGAATATTGAGGTTCTCGCCTTTCCTTAAAGATTATGTACATACATTAGAGAACTACACCAATATGAAATGATTGAGTAGATCTTAAGCATTCATTATTCATTGTATGCTGCACAAACGCATGCTTAACTCTCCTGCATTTTTCTCTCCTGGAGGTAGAAAAACAGTTGCAGCAGGGGTGTTGCTAGGTTACAAGTCCCAGATCTTTTTGTGAGAGTCGTAAATGTTTTTGGGTGATGATTCCGGGGGAAATGGAACTGGGTGACTGGATAGAATATTCTTTTGGGTAAACAAATTAACAAATCGTTTAATATGGCTTTACCTAGAATTGATTTCAGAGTATTGAATGAGTATTAATGAAGGGAAATTGAATTTCTTTGGAGAAAAGTATGTTTAGAAATTAATAGAAGAGGAACTAATTTGAGGGGTGATCTGGGGTGGCATGTAAGCCAATTGAATAATTTATCTGGGGTGATTTGGAAATTAGTTGACTTGCCTTCTGTGACCTATAAATTCCATTTGAAACTATACATAGACATAAACATATGCAGTTTCTATGCAGGCTGGTGCCCCAAATATCTTAGGTTCCTAGCCAATATCCCAAAATTCCAGAAGGACAATTAGAGCAGAAAAGCAGTTAAGAAGGGCAAGGATTCAGCAGAACCCACCCACTGTCATTCCTCTGCTCAAACTCACAGCTTCTCAAAGTAGCTTTTGGTAAAAAAATGATGATGATGATGATGATGATGATGATGATGATTAAAAAACCTGTTGCAGGAAGATACATGCAGCCAATTTAAACACTGATTTGATCAAGTTTAAATTATTACAACACTTTGAAGCTCATATAGTTTCAAAGAAATAAACTTTAGTCAACTTGATTACAAGAGTAACTCACCTTCGTAAGTGGCTGAAAATCCTTTTCCTACCCAGGTACTGCTGCCACGGAACTCTATCCACATTCTGCTGTCACTGGAGGTGAGGACATCTGGGAGCTTGTCACCGCAGAATCTGCCTAAAAGAACAATAAGAAAACACATTTTAAGGTCTCCCTCTCAAGGCCAAATCCTGCAATTTAACGTAATTAATGTCAGGGCCAAACTAACTTGATGAAGGCAGATTCCTTGGACAGACATTCTGCCCCAATTATGTGTAAAGTACAATTGGAGTTGGGGTACAATTTAAAACCCTGGCTGTTGCTTCCCCTCCTCTCCACAACCTCTCCCCACCTGTTTCACCCCAGTTTGTTTCTAGTATCATAGCCCAAATGCGGGGAAAGGGAGTGGGGGGCAGAGGAGCCGTGCACGTGGGGAAGAAGTCACAGCACAGAAGGTGGAGTACCACCACTGATCGATTCTATCTGATTAATTGTATTTCTATGCCAGTTTTCAATCAAATGATCTCAAAGCTGCTTACAAACAATAAATAACAATAATAAAATAGAATACCACAAATACAGCATAAATCACCTAAAATAATAAACAGATCACCAATAAAACAACTACAAAACTCTGCCAATGAAACAGCAACTGAAAAATAAAAAACCCTCACAATTACAGCAAAAGTCATATAATATGATTAACAAATCAATACGGCATTTATAATCTGTAAAACAATATTAACAGCATGTACAAAATAGCCACTAAAGAAAATAAACTAGGCACTGTTAAGCTCTCACACACATTTTCAATGCCCCCAGGACTCATAATCTTTCATTCTGTTCAGTTCATTAAAAAACACATAATGCCCATTGCTAAGCCAGCTCAGCCTGTGTGGCTGATGACCAGGGTAAAATTATTTAATTAAATAAATAAACAAACACGGGGTGGGGGGGTGCACATGCGTTATGTATAGTTTGGCTTCCTGGTTTCAGTAACAGTTGTGCCAGGGTTAGCCCTTTTGATGCACAGATAGGATTTACAGTCTAAATAATAGACATATATATTATGCTCATTAAGTATTAACAAAAAGTTCCCCTTATTTTTGAAAGTCTTCTGTAAACTGGAACACTAGCTAGAAAACAGTAGCAATGTCAAACATTTATTCCAGTCTACAACGTGCTTTGAGAATGCAATTGTTATTTGGGTTTGGTACAGAAGCTCTTTCCTTACTAAGAAGATTTTTTTTATTTAAGTCTACTATGTTAGTCACCTTTTCCTTCCTTTTAAAAAATATTCTGCTTCTTCCTTCTTCCTTTCCTGATACTTTAGTCCCTCCTCCAGCTTCTACTCGTCTTACTCCTCTTTTTAATTTTTGTAGTGACAGCAGAGAAAACTCCTTATTATATGGGCACACAGATCACACCCTACTATGGATGTGGAAACTCCTGAATAATGTCGAGCGTGCGTGTGTTACCATGGATCATGGGGTGTCAGATATCCTAAGGCAATAACTGATTTCTTAAATGTCCTGTGGGAATTCTAAAATTTATGTATTTAAATCTTTTGTACACCACTTACTGTCACAAATGACCTCGAAGCAGTTTATGCATATCAATCAAAACAGTAAGAACAAAATCAGGGCAAAGCAGAAAGTCCAGAAGAGACATCTGAAAATATTGACATTACATCTTTGTGAAGTAGAAATAATGCAGGTAAATAAGCAGGTGGGAGAGCAGCACCTATTACATATACAGTGGTACCTCAGGTTAAGTACTTAATTCGTTCCGGAGGTCCGTACTTAACCTGAAACTGTTCTTAACCTGAAGCACCACTTTAGCTAATGGGGCCTCCTGCTGCCGCCGCGCTGCCGGAGCCCGATTTCTGTTCTCATCCTGAAGCAAAGTTCTTAACCTGAAGCACTATTTCTAGGTTAGCAGAGTCTGTAACCTGAAGCGTATGTAACCTGAAGCGTATGTAACCTGAGGTACCACTGTATTATCACCCAGATCTGCTTAAACTTAAAGCTTTCCACTAGGAAATTAAACCTTGCAACTATTTATAAGTGACTTCCGGCTGCAAGAAGCAAACAATCAAAACAGAGCAGGGGCATCTGTGTTGCCTGATGATGAAGGAGTTTCAAAAGCTGGTTGTTCACTACCACGCATGCTTAGACAGTGCTCTTCCACTCTGGATTTTTCACTGTTCACTGTTTCACATTTTACAGAACTGCCTGCTGTAGTGCATGTTTACTGGGTGTACCCAAAGTGCACCCTGTAATGTGCAAGAGAGATACAACCCTTTCTTCTACCTCAAACTCACCAGCATATACACATGACAAGCCGATGGAACCAATTATACAGGGCTCCCTAGAGCAGGTAATAATTGAGGGGGAATGTTATGTTTCTCTCACACTTTGCAACGACAAAAGGCGCACAGCTCTCTCATGGCTTGTGCTGCAAATATCATATGATGATACTCCCAACTAATAAGCTAATTCCAGATCATTTTTTTATTTAGCTACTGTTTCTATGTCCCAGTTATTCAGAATTGATCACAACAGAGGTTTCATACCAAGCAGAGGTGATTTTTTCCAGTAGCCATCTCTTACTTCAATATAGTCATACCAGCAGAGGCTGCTCTTATAGAGGTCCATTGTAGTGAAGTTTAAAACAATCTGAAAAGTGCAAAAGAGAAAAGTACAGTATGTCACACACGTGGTTTGGTTTCTGCTCTGAACCAGAATTAAGATATTCCTATGCTGACCATAAATGTCAGAAATGTTAACATCTGAATAGTGTCACTATTTCTTCTGATTTTCTATGTAACGAAGGTAACCCTCTATCTAATAAGCATTTAAGGGCTTAGCTCCTTAGGGCCTAGATTCTGAAACTGTGGGGAGGACACTCTGTCCTGACTTGGAATAGCAAACACAAATATATAGAGAGGGAGTGCCTTCCTTGCCCATCAAGCAAGAGCTCACTATCCCCTAACAGAGAATTTTTAGTTATTTTTGTAAATCTGCCCATGGGTTCAAAAAGGTTGGTAAGCCCTAGTCTAAAATTTCCTTATTGTTCCACTTACTGTGCTCAAGAATCTCTATAAGCTCACCTGTGCAACCTATAATTAATTTATTGAAGGAGCCGACACGATGACAGTAAATTTATAATGAGGATCCTGAATTTTAAAACTTTTGCTAAACATTGGAATACAAGCTTTAAGCATGACTGTGTACCAGATCTGTGTAGGTGGAGAGCAGGGAACTATAGATATCATGTGGATCTATTCCACCTTCAATTTCAGTGGCTAGAGAGATGCAGAATATACCATCTCATTAGTTACAATCTGACCCATGGGCTTAAACTTAATCTTTATGAAATTAGAGGAGAAGCCTTTGTTATGGAAGAAATAGGGTCAGATGGAGTATGTGATCTGAAATGCAGGATATAGCAGTCTGCGAGACAGCCTTATCCTGCTCTGTCCCTACAGTGGCATCTCTGCAGAGGAAGGAATTGTTAATTTATTGACTAAGACACACACACACCCACACACACACCCCCGCAGTAATGAGAAGCTGGATCTTTCATCTTGTTAGTCATGATGAACATAACAGATTGCATCCATTAATAACACATATTTTTAGACAGTGACACCAGAACTGCTAAAATAGCAGTTGGCACAAGAACATTTCACTTTACCACAGAATTCACATACTATGTACTCATTTATAGAGGTACATCCCTACTATGTCCTGACAGCATATGCCGGGCCACTTCAATAGGCAGACGTAACAGCAGCTGCTACTTACTTACCACCTTTAACCAATGGGAAAAAAATGAATTTACATTGAGCATCTGGTGTAAGAATTACACAGCAATCAGCACAGAAGACAACCTTTGAAATGCCTTGTGCGGTAAAAAGAAGAAGCAGCTATTTTGCATATGTTCAAATTTTGATAAATAATATGTCAATGATTGGCAAATATGTTTTGTGATGCCAGATGAACTGAATGTAATGAATCCAATCTGAATCATTTCGCGCAGGTGGGGGAGCCTTGAAACATTAGGAAGCAATAGAAGCTTCCCATTACAAATTAGAGGAGAATTTTAAATAGCAAACACATGACATTAACCGAACGAATGATTCAGGAACTGCTGCTTCAACTGACCACAGCCTAAAGCAGCACAGTCAAATAAGCTTTGCCAGTAGTTTGGGTAGAGCAGTTTTGCTTTAACACTGGACAGATCAGATTTTGAACATTTGCTGTAAAAGAACCATTTGCTACTGTGCAGTAAATCCAATTTCATACTGCAACTGTATACTCTCCTTCGGCAGCTACTTTGCCAGCTGTACGTGTTTTCTGTATCTGTGTGAGAATCTATCCTTTCCTCAAGTTGTAATGGGGAAATATAACACTGCTATGTGGACAAGGAGCCTAAAATATCATTAACTGGTTTCTGACTGCACTTCAGATATACACACAGAACTCAATTAAGTAGCATTGTATCAAACTTTTGCAAACATTTTAATTTTAGACTGGAAGCCCTTGCAACAATGGAAATAAGCTTATATACATTCGAAATGGTCACAAAATATGCATCATGGGTTTGTAACAGTTACCTAAACAAAACTGTAGGGAAGAAAAGTTACACTGAGAGCCAGTTACTACACTATTGCTCTCTTGCTGAGGGAGTTTGAGTGAATCAAGTTCCCTGCTTCATTCAGCTTCTCTGCAAAATCCTTATCCTTCTTTTAACATTCCCTTGACTCCTTTGTCATCCAAGGGATGACAAGACAGGTTTCCTGCTACAGAGACGTTTCTGTTGGTCATGTTTTTAGCAATGTGTTCCTCAAGCCCAACAGTTAGGTGCCTGTGGCTACAACTGTGTCAGTGGGCATCTTTTCCTAATCTCCCCTCCCCCATATTTTGCTCATGAGTAGACCATTGATATTCATGTGCTTTACTCCCAAGACCTTTCCTCTAGGCCTAGAATCCAAATGTTGAAGGAAATAAGTGAGCTGCGATCCAGTTCAGCCTGTTTATTAAGCTGAAATAAGTAGGATTTAAGTAGTCGGCTGTGAGCAGGATTGTCAGCCTCTGCCACAATCCAACAGGGAGTTAAGCATGTTCAGGCCCATTGGAATCAATAGATTTTAGCATGCCGAGCATTTTGTTGGGCTGTGTCATCACTTTCACTAAAAACTGATATATTTGGAAAATGTTAGTTTAATCCTCTCGTGAACATAAAGCTGTAGAAATTCTGAGTCATACTTATTTTTATTGTAAGCAGGAAATATGCAATGATGGCTTATGCGCCAGGCTTCAGTCTTTGAGTGTAGAACTAATTATTTCAGAACCTATATTCTGGTGTTCCTAAATCAGCAATACTGACTTTGCTTCCTTTAAATGCAAGCACCAATACATAGTAGCCTAAATTACTTCAACTGAAGGAAACACATTATAACGTTCATATTTGTTATATTTCAAGACTTATTTCAAACTACAGCAAGCCTGCAACTAATGCAAGGCTTACATTCCAGGGATCACACCTAAAGGCAAAATTGCATACAGTATAGTCAAAACACACTGGGTGCAATGGTGAGTAGGATAGTCTTATTTCCTGGACACCCATCCCCTTTCCATTCCCCCCCCCTTTTTTTAAAAAAATGTGCAGCACGTAAAGCTGAATGCATATAAGTTAAATGTGTATAAGTTGCAGGCTTATTGTACTATGCCGCTCTGAGATTGTAAAAGTCAGACAAGTTCACTGAAACACTATTTGTGACATTTATGACATAAGGCAAGCTGGCAAAGTATTGTGGTCACTCCAAAAAGAGAAATAAATGAAGATGTAGTGTAATGGGCACAATCTACTGAAATCTTCAGTTACAAATGTTCTATTTTTCTTATGGCAACATTACATTAATTGTGGTCTACCAAAAAACATTTAACTTCAATTCTGCAACTCAGCAGACACAGAAGAAGAACTGGAGACAAGGCAGATCAACAGTTCAAGAGGACAGGATGGCTGCAAGTCTCCAGAGATAAACAATCAATGAACATTTGTCAGCACAACTGAGAAATTAATGGTAACGTAAGCAAATTCAGTAGTAGCACTGCTGTCTCATGCAGAATAATGAATCACACATTTTCACTGCTGGAACAGGAAAGCCCACAATACATTATGGAAAGGGAAAATGAAACATAATATATATTCAGAACCATTTAAAAAACTGTACTTAGAAAAACTGAGAAAATTTAAAGTAAAGCAAATTATTTATATAAAAATGACAGTGAAAACAGCTATGCCATTTTGCAATTACTATACTTTCAAAGAGAAGAACACAACCTTCGAGAAATTAACTCGCAGTATTTTGCACCTCCATGAGAGCTCGGATCTCAATATTTGAAAGCTGTGGATAGTGCAGAACGCAAAATATTTGTTTTATGGTTTAGTAGTGTTAAGCACGTCATACAGTCATGCTTTTTCAAAGGCTGCTGGACATTTTGTTGGCTGTTTTGCATCTTTAGGACCAACAACGTATTTTTAAAAAAATAAAAGAGTTTTGTGATTAATACGAAATATCCTAAAAGCAAACATACCATATGCAGGCAGGCTATTTTAGTCTGTTTAACAAATTACAGAATGCACTGTATATTGATGACTTCAAGAGTGGGTTGCTGCAATGCAACTCTATGTGGGGCTTCCGCTGCACTTGCGAAGCTGCACTTAGTGCAGGATGCTGCAGCATAGTTGATGACAGACACACTACCCTGCCAGCATACACTTCAGCTCAGAGATCTGCACTGGCTGCTGATTTCTTATCAGGCTTTGGGACCAGTTTACTTGCACAATTGCCTTATGACCCTGCTCCATGCCCTCAAGTACTTTTTTTTTTACTTGGAATGTGTCCTTGAACAGAAATAAATCCTTGCGCTTGCCTGGACAGAGTGCACATGTGAGTGAAACCTCTGGCTTTTCCTGGTAAAATGTAGCCTAATATACAAAGGTAAGAACTGCATCCATTGCTCCATGCTCTTTTGCCTCTAGCCCCAGTGGCAGAACGAGCCGATTGGGCGCCTGGGGCAGCGCGGGTTCCTGTGCCCGGGGGTGGGGCAGGCAAGGGGAGGATGCTTTGTGGGACCTCTGAGGATTCTGCCTGTCTCCTCCCACTCAGCCGCCCTACAGCTGAGGGGGAGGCAGTGGGTGGACTGTTTGGGCAGTGCAGAGCCTGCAGGTGCCCAAGCCACCATGTCACTCCCAGGAGAGACGCATGACTCGGGCGTGCTGCAGGCCCTAATACAGTAAGTGCCACCTGGCATTTTGTCACCACCTCAGTGATGACACCTGGGGCACACCACCCCCACCGCCCCCTTCCTCCGCCCCTGTCTAGCCCCACCCACTGCCGTCATGCACTCTCTCCACCACCACCACAGGATAACTGTGAGGGAGTGCAGCTCTCAATCCGAAAAAGATTCCCTGCCCCTGTTAGACTGAATAGAAGGAACAGCCAGAATATGCTCATGTTTATCTCTCATTCCATGAGATGTTAAAACCGCCACCCCAGGAACCAATTTGGATGGGCTTTCCCAGTATGAAAGCCCAGAAGATTAGGACCAGGCTCTCAGATGGGGCTTCAGACAAAAATGGATCTGAACTGCTAACTAAAGCCAAAGTTGAATAAATTGACTAATGTACAGTTCAAAGGCTTTGTCTCATTAACCACTCTTAAAACCACACACTCATTAAAGCGGAGTTTTAAACCAAAGCATTTTCACTTTGTGGTTATATCTGTGTAGGACTGGGCTGAGTTGGGCTGCGAGATTTGCAGCATTTTCGTTGCCTTTGGTTTCATGGTTTTATCTTTTATTTTTAAATTGTTTTCATCCTACTTCATGGAGAGCTGCCCAGAGAGCAACATGTTACGGGGCATTAGACAAATGTCATGAATGAGTGAATAAATAAATATGAAGCTTAAAAATAAAATAAAAACCCCACAAGATCAGGAGAAACATGAACAAACAACAGCAAAATGTTTGGTTTGAACAAAGTGCCAAACCTTGGGAATAATTGCAAAGTACCTTCTCTCCAGGCGTCACTGAAATTCTCCATATGCAGTGTGTGTACGAAGGGTAGCCATTTGGAAACCCGGGAGAGGAGAAGTTGCCTGTAGACTCTTGCAGTGTTTCTCCACACGCTGAAAGAAATTAGATATTATAGCAGCTGAGGGTTGCCTGACAAAGTGCAAAGAAATCGTGTTTCTTCTTTACTGTGAATAATTAACAGCAGAGGTGGGAGATGCTTTATACAAAGCAACATTTTTGAAACAATCTGACAAGGACATTTTGTCCTGTCCAAAATATTATTTCCATGTCCTTTCCCCTTTCTTTAAATCAAAATAAAAAATTACAGCATGCCTTTAAATGTCACTGTTGACCATCAGGCAAGTAAATAGTAAAAACAACCTTATGTTTCCACACAACAGAAAAATAAGTGGAACAATTGTCATGATGCTGAACACTAACCAGAACTGTTCATGTATTTTATAAGTTAGATGAGGATATATTCATATGAAACTAGAAATTATTTTTAAAAGATGTGCATAAATTTCTTGTAACAATACTGAAAATAAAGCATGGCAAATATAACAACCAATGACATTTATTTTATTGCTATACCTTATTCTTTTACTCTATTTCCTACTTAGCTGTCTATCATACTGTTTCAGGGCAGAACAGGGTTCTGACTAATTTTTCCCTTCCCAGTGAATTTCAGTAGAAACTGAAGTATTTATCTGCCATTAAAGTTCATTCACTTTTCACTGCAGCTTATCTGCCATTTATCCTTATAACTTTAAATCAGCTACTTGTTTCTCCTGTTGATTTGGTAGCATGGGCTGAAGGACAGCTCTTTGAAGCTCGTTACCTTGCCATTAGTAAGAGTAAGATCAGTTTTTGCTAAAATACTCTGTCACATCCATTTTGAGGACATTAAAATGCCATCTGCTACTCATTGAGGACTACAAGCATCATCATTTATCCATATTTTGTTATATGATGTAGCAATCTGTGATGGCTGAATTGGTGGTGGTAACAACAACAACATTTGTACACTACCTAGTGTCCCACATTGTACATCTGGTACACTACTTGGAACGTACTGTATTTTTCCGTGTATAACACACCCCCGTGTATAAGATGCCCACTATTTGGGGGGACTCGGAATTAAGAAAATAGGGGGAGATTGCCCAGAGTTGTTGGCCAATATCACATGTAGCAGAAGCCGAAAATCGTCTGCCCAATTGCCGCAACAACAGCCAGTCAACCACAGCCCTCGCTGCAGCCACCAATCACCCGAAAAAACACAGATGACATTCTCCTACTCGAAGCTGCAACCAATCACCCGTCCCCACTCAGAACTACCCATGTATAAGACGACCCCAATTTTTTAGATCTCCCTTCCTTAAAAGCACACATTCATAAATTCAGGTTTCTGCACTGGAAAAATCTCTGACTAATGCAAGAACACAACAAAACTGTGAGTTTAGACCTGCAGACGAGAAAAAGCTGGGTACAAAGTTGCTACTGTTTGGTGTAAAGTTATTCCATTTCCCCTGTAATGTCACCTCGGGACAATTCTGACCATAAAAAACCAAGATGTAATGTTTGCTGAAGATGCTAAAATGGACTTTGAAGTTATGAAAAATTCTAAGACCTCTGTCTGGTATATTAAAATTAAATCTGAGCACAAAAGGGCTGGGTATCTGTGTGAATAAACCTCCTCACCCCACCTCCTGGTAAGATATGTGTTTACTCAGCCTCGTTTTTTGAACTATTTTCGCAGTATATCTGACTGGTAAACTAATGGTTGTCTTTGTTTATGAGGACTGTAGATGCCTCTATTCATTTAAGAATGTTCTATAAGATCAGTCAGATGATTTCAAAATTAGATGGTTGCTGGCTAATGTAGACAACTCCATTCCTATAGATAGCTTTATATGCACTAAGAGCAAAAAAGTTACAGGCAACTTTTTTGACCCAAAGCATAGTTGACTGTCAAGGGGATTTTTAAAAAAATCTAAATGATTTGGGGAACTTAACTATTTCAAATGTTGACAACTTGCATATCTGATGTTTAACTTACTCTTGGATTGCCTCATTTGTTTTTGTGAGTTATGCTGTAATCGCCATTGGCTACAAACAGAAATCTGTCTGTCTGAACATCAGATCAACAGTAAATGACAGTGTAAGAGCTGCCAGCTGGCAAGATGACAAGTGTAATCAAAAGTCAAATTAAATATAAATGATTTGCAGAATCTTTAAACATGTGGGAGGGGGGAAACCCACAAGATTTTGTATAAAGACAGACAATAATGTTCAATAATGCTAAATCTTATTTAAGGTTGAATGAGGCAGTACATGAAAACACGGGACTTAAAGTATATGTTGAGGAATAAAGACAAGCCCTGGCTTAGCCTAAACCCTTTTCCTCTCTGTCTCTCCACAAATCACACATCACGTGACATCTAATCAAAGTATTGCTACATATTAAGTAATGTATTCAGTACCACATCAAATGACCACACCAGTTTATTTTTAACACCGCAATTGTTGGTAACTCCACTAAACTGTAGAGATTAATATATTGGGGGAGGAATTCCGTGTAGCACTATTAAGATTGTTCCATCAGCAAAGGCACTTATGCTTCCCAGAGGGAACCATCTCTCTCCTCTGCCCCCACAGGGAACAGATCTGGGGTTCTCCTAGCCCCCCAGAGCTGATGGAGCACAGCAAGGGAAAGAAAAGTTTCAGGGCCTGAGATTTTCTGTCAAAGCACTGGGAAGCTTCCCAACCCAGGCGTGCATTAAGATATGGAAATATTTTTCTTATAGGCTTTACTAGCTATCCCTTTGCCTGCATTTCCTTCATTTCTTTAGCTTAAAGCCATGTCAAAAAAAAAAAAGGGCATTCACCCCAGTTATTCCAAGTGTCCAGTGCAAATGTCCTATTGGCATTAATTGGATTAATTCAAGGAGACCTGCACTACCCCACAAGCCCTGCCATTTGTAGCTAACTGATCTAAAACATAGCTTGCTCAGAAAAGACCATGATGCCATTTGTCACAAATTAAATGCTACCCTTGACAAATTTCATATTCTGCTTTTGGTTAGGCAACACTTTGGTTGTCCTAACTGAAAGGTGAAATTCATTACAGTGGGTCTGTAGTTCCTAATGTTATTAGTTAAAATTCCAACACATGAGAATTCAAAGGATTTCAGTTCATTTGGTACTGCCAAAATTTGCAACGTACACATTATTTGTAAGCTTATAAAATGGCTTGCTGTTAACAAACTTTAATTATATGTTACAACCTGTTAATAATGGGTTTCATTATGCTGAAGTTAGTCCTTAGAAAACATGAATAAGGCACTGTAGCCCCTCTGCTATTTTTTAATTTACATTTCTTTTTAAATATAGTGAAGGGGGTTACAGTGCCTTATTCACAATTCCTAAGGACTAACTTCAGCATTTTTCATGCCACAAAAACCTATTACTTACTTACTTACAGACAGACACACACACACACAGAGAGAGAGAGAGAGAGAGAGAGAGAGAGAGAGAGAGAGAGAGAGAGATTAAGAAACTTTATGAAGTTTAACACAGCTTTATATTGCCTGTATTGCCTGGTTAGATGCCAGTTCTTCTACCATGAGTTGTTTCTTTGGCATGCTTATATCACACATATGCCTTGTGAATTGTTTATAATAATTACCAGAACTACTGAGTGGTGGAAAAAAAAATGCTCCTGAAGGGAAAAAAGATACCGTATTTTTCACTTTTTAAGACACACCAGACCATAAGACACACCTAGTTTTTGGAGGAGGAAAACAAGAAAAAAATATTCTGAATCTCAGAAGCCAGAACAACAAGAGGGATCGCTGCACAGCGAAAGCAGCGATCCCTTTTGCTGTTCCGGCTTCTGGGATAGCTGCGCAGCCTGCATTCGCTCCATAAGACGCACACACATTTCCCCTTACTTTTTAGGAGGGGAAAAGTGAGTCTTATAGAGCAAAAAATACAGTACATAGCTGAAGCTGGGGGATGCTTATCTTCTTCCTTCCCTCTCTAATTGGTTCCTCTGAAACAGACAAGAACTAGCAGGTGTGAGAGATTAGCATCACACAAGCATCACATATGCTCTGTGTTGCAGAGGCAAGGGCTGTGGGCAGGAAAGAGACGTTACACATGGACAAGGGTGAATGGTGACCAATCACATTTTTAGGAGGGGAGATTGTGAGAAGATGCTGTTAAGGCTTCATGGATCTAGGACAGGCATAGGCAAACTCGGCCCTCCAGATGTTTTGGGACTACAACTCCCATCATCCCTAGCTAACAGGACCCGTGGGCAGGGATGATGGGAGTTGTAGTCCCAAAACATCTGGAAGGCCGAGTTTGCCTATGCCTGATCTAGGAGCTAGTTAACTGATCTGCAAGAGGGGGAGAGTGGCCAAAGAAATAAAGTTTCAGACCAAGTGACCAAGGTACTACTAAGACTCTCTGCAGCAAGAGGTCCAGACCAAGCATGATGGTTATTGTATAAAGAATTCCTGCACAAAGAGCTGTTCGGTGCAATTGTTTTGCAGGGCATCTGGATTCCGCTGCTGAGATATGTTAAACAAACCCATCATTCATCTAAACATAGCTCCAGGCTTAAAGTACAATATCTTAAATAAGAACTGAGAGAATGAATCATGTTTTTCCCCACTTCCTTATCCAGCAAGTGAACAGCTACAGTAGGCAAGCACAGAAATGCCATATGAGTCAGTAAATTCAGATTCAGGCCATTCATACCTTAGTGCCTAATGTCCCAGAGCTACCACACTTTAAAATGCTTACTATCTCAGCTTTCAAATATGCCTTAACTGCCTGAATGAAAACCAATTAGAAACAGATTATTCAAAACTATCCGTTAGCGCTCATGAATTCTGCAGGAAAGCATGCTTTATTGGGCATATGTTTTATGGTGCGGTACCTGGACATCTGTACAGCTTTCTTGCTTGTGCAATATCTCCTTTACTTAATCTCGTGCGCTGACCAATGGCTGGTCGGATTCCATTATCATCACGGGAAGGAAGGATGGTGTCCAGAAACATGCCCCTAAAAAAATTCAAATAAACAAGAAACCCGATCAGGTTTCATATCAAACTAAGCTATCAGAATCTAACTTTTGCTTATGTTCTTGGCCAAATTAGATCTAAAAAAATATAATAAATAAATAGCAGCCATAATGGAAAACTCAAGAGTGGCTTGTTTGATTAAATTGGTTTGTTGTTGACAACCATGCAACAACAGTTTGGTAAACTGTTCTGCTCAAGTCCCTGTTCCTTAGCAAACTGTCAACAATTCCGAACATCAATTGCTCTCGTGCAATAAAATTAAATTAATATCAAGAGCAACATATCCCACACTAAACTGTTAGTTTTCATATAATTAGTACAATGAAATCTGCTTCAAATGCTGCTTTTGCTTTTGAGGAACCATAATCATTTTCTTGTTCCCAATCATTTCCACAACTGCTTGAATATATGCAAGGTAGGTTATGCTTATAGACTGCTTTGATCAGGTGCTGTTCACCATGCTAGCATACTTTATTCTAAGCATTTATTTGTCAATGCAATCTTTTAAAAGGGCCATAGGTCTATCAGAAAACTCTTACTTTTATCATCATAGTCAACGGTACATGCAATCTTTTGAACTGTAGTGGAATTTATTACGGGGGAAAATCAATACATAAAAAGCCTGCATGTCTATTGGGGGGTGGGCACATTCAAAAGACATGCATAAAAGAACAAAGTCAGATTGATTCATCCTGTTACCAAGCACCATGAGTGCTTTCTGAAGGTTTCATTTTCCATCACAGTAATCTAAAAATGATCAAATTAGTGTCACTCACAATTAAGAAAAGATCTAATCTCCATGAGTAACAGAATTTCTAATATATAATGGCTGGGAACATTCCACATTGTTCCTGTTACTGGCAAAATGTTTTATATAGCAGCCTGGAATAACCTTTTTTCACCTTGGCACCTTTAGACCTTGTGTTCTGAGAAGCCTTATTCTATTTTGCTCCCTCCTAGTGACAAAATAGGACTTGTTCCTGTTGAAGGTAATGGCTATGATCTAGCAGCCTAGCACAGGAAGTTCCCCATTGTCTACTATGAACAAGAAAACTCTGAGAGCAAGGGAGCAGTTTTCTTTTTTTTCTTTTTCTTTTAAAGTGGGGATTACTGTAAGACAAGTGTAAGAAAAGTCTATCAATGATCATTATGAGAACATACTTATAAAATAATCAGACATATCTAAGAGAACCATTTTCACAACTATTAGCTTGAGGAGCTACAACATGATAAACCTCTTTGGTCAATTGCCTGAATCAAAACTACATCTATAAAATATATACACAAAGAAGAATGGAATTAAAAGTCAAAAGGTATAACCTGAGACTCCAACCTTGAGAAGGTGTTCCTGGCATAGTGCATAATGCTATCAAAATCATATGGCTCCCCCAGAGAATTCACTTCTCCAGGCTCCATCTTCAAAAAGTTGTACTCCTGACCTATAATTCATAAGCAAGATCTCATGTAAGCCTTTCCTAAAAAGAAAGAGAAAAACAGAAGAAAACAGAAGTCCCAGCCCTTCTACTTACATACAGTACTGCTGTGCATTCACCTCTGACAATGAATGAGTGAATATATCCACTTTGGAGATATTTAGACCTCCTCAGAATTCGAGAGAACCCAAAGTGGTCTGAGATGGAATGGGCTGATCTTGAGACTTTGGAACCACCTCAGGACTTTTGTAGGATGTTTTATTTTACTGGCCCAGTACAATGCATTTTAGTATCTCCTGAAGCACATCCAGCCTCTCTATAACTGGACACATTAGGCAGAGAGAAAGGGAGGCAGGAAAGGAGGGGCACATTAATTTTTACCCTCTATCCTAACTTTTCCTCTATCCATTTGTTTGGAGCACTGAATGGTGTTTCTGGGCAACCTTGACCAATTCCTGCCACAACATTGGGATCCAAAGGTGAGTTTTCACATCTTACAACTATTGCAGAGTACTGGTGGTATAGTGCTTTTTAAGGTTTGATGCTATGCCCCTCAGGAACAAATATTACATTTATATGTCAGACTCTCAGGTATCACCTGTTCATAACCTGGCAAGTTCGCCTTAGCCATTCCTCATTCAGTCAGAGAAACTCAATACTGATGAAGCCAAACGTTTCTGCACAACTATCAACAGCTTTTTGATTCATTCTTAATGCAATCATTCTTAAATATCATTTTTTCCCTCATGAATCAAATTATTCTTTTAACAGCCCTATAAAACCCCATCTTACTGTGCTACGTGCTATGCTGAATAGGAAGAAAGCCAAATGGAGACAAATATTCTGGGACTACTTTCTGTCCTTATCTGACTCATTCATTATATGTTCTTAATGTCATGTTTGCTACTCTGACTGTTGCTGTGGGAACATAAAAATCAAGTTTTTTTGATGCTGTTAACATAATGTGGAACTGATTTTGTAACCCATTCCTACACTCATTATTATTTATTATCTACAGCATATTTTTAATTTTAAGAGGGCTTTATCATCTTCATTGGAGTCTTGTACTACCATGTATGAACATAATTTCAACCATCACATAGTTTCTCCTCACAACCAGCCCTTTTCCATATTCTACTGGCTGCTCCTATTCTTCATTTCCAAATATAGAGACATTTCTCTCTACGCACCCAGGACATTCAAATGGTTTCTTACAGGGTGTAAAGATGTAGTTCACTCACTCATGTGTTAGAGAGAAATAAATCATCTGCAAAGATGCCTAGGGGCACATACCTTCAATATAACCAATTAACAACAACAACAGCTTCTTCAAACAAGGGTAAACTGCAAAGGAGGCTACTTGAGGCTATGGAGACTGCATAAGCTATCGATTGCTTTTACTAGGTATTCACTGTATTAACACAAAGTACCCCTTGCATAGGGACGCAAGTGGCGCTGTTGGGATGCGGGTGGTGCTATGGTCTAAACCACAGAGCCTAGGGCTTGCCGATCAGAAGGTCGGCGGTTCGAATCCCCACAACAGGGTGAGCTCCTGTTGCTCGGTCCCTGCTCCTGCCAACCTAGCAGTTCGAAAGCACATCAAAGTGCAACTAGATAAATAGGTACTGCTCCGGCAGGAAGGTAAATGGCGTTTCCGTGCGCTGCTCTGGTTTCGCCAGAAGCAGCTTAGTCATGCTAGCCACATGACCTGGAAAAGCTGTCTGCAGACAAATGTCAGCTCCCTAGGCCAGTAAAGCAAGATGAGCACTGCAACCCCAGAGTTGTTCGCGATTGGACTTAACTGTCAGGGGTCCTTTACCTTGCATAATGCAACTGTCTCATATAAACACCCACTCTGAACAGCACAGCTGAATTTTGCTGTTTTAGCACTATCCAGTTAAACCAATGTGCAAGAACCTCAAGAGCCGCAAGCAAATAAAATGGGGCAGCATTTTAAAATATAAGACACCACACTAAAATATAAGAAAGCACACTAAAATGGTCTCACCTGGCTGGATGTTTTCTCTGATGATGGTTACATGATCATCTCTGTCTGGTCTTGTGTGTTCATGCCAAAATCCTATCACATGTCCCAGCTCATGAACAACAATTCCAAATTTATCACAGTTCTTGCCAATAGAAATTGCCTGAGGGCCATTACCCCTTCGGCCTACATAAGAACAGCACCTATAATTTAGAAGAAGAACACGGATGAAAACTTATGTGAATATTGCTCGTTGCCGAAAAGGTGCTGCAATTTGCATTTTAATCTTCTGAAAATCATTAGTTTTTCTGTGGTTTGTCAAGAAGATTAAATTTGGCTCTCTCTCTCTCTTTATATATAAAAAGTAAATGTTTAATTGTACAATTTTCTTCTTGGAGATAGGAGTGGAGGTATAAGAAGCATTTGTTTTTACAGCAAAAACACTTAAAATCATATGGTCCTTGAGGAGGTCAGCCAAAATTAATTCCATCACCAGCAAAAGTAAAAGACTGACAAAGGAAAGCATTTCTGAGTAAAAAACAGTGCAACTTCACTTCCCCCTCAAATTCTTTATCAGTTTAATGTGGGGCGGCTGCAGATACATTTAAATATTTTTAACACCTAGTGATTTGAAAGTCATTAAATATGCTTTCAAGTTGTGGAGTATTCCAAACTGTGATATAAAACATATTTATAAAAAGAAAGCCATTAATTATTATTTTTTCTAGTCAGTTCTAACACAAACCAGACATGATGACAGGAGATTCTGGTGTCACTTAAAAGCTTTAATAGTAGCTACCATTGATGGTAGCCTGAATAATTTTTTTGTCTCTGTGGCACTCTGGGAGAGGGGCTAATCATTTATTCCTGTGCCAATTCACCAACTTAAATTCCTCTTGAATTTCCAGGTATCATATATGATGCTTAAATGCACCTTTTGCCAAATATCTTTTTTAAAAGCATAAAGGCCCTGGGATTTCTGGATGGTAGTAGATTTAGCCAATTCCCCCCCCCCTTTACTTCTATTTTGTATACCACTTGATAAAACCTCCAAGCAATTTAGGAGCACAGAGACATGACTAATGAGACTGAAACAATTATTTACCACAGAGGATATAAGCAGGGTTGTATCCAGTTAAGTCCAACTCAGAGTAAACCCACTGAATCCAATGGACTTGTGACTTATGACTCACTCATTCACTGATTTCAGTGGATCTGCTACGAATGTGACTCAGCAGAATACAACTTTTAAAGCAATGGACTTCATCTGGCAATTGGGGACACACTAATGGGTGATGGGCTACAACAGCAACACTACAAATAAATATTACAAAATTAAGAAATGTGTCCCCAAATACATGTTGAGGTTGAAGGGTGGGAAGTCCTAATCCCCTGATCTTTGCTGCTGGAGGGGTTTAGGATATGGCAGAAATGGTCATCTGCCAACATCTGCTGGTTGTGGGTGTTCCAGAGGCCCCCACGAAAAGTGTTGCCATTATGAAACTACAGACCATTGTGTTCCCACCAGTGGCATAAACCACAGGGCCTTGAACTGGTGGAAGGCAGAACAAAGCTGCCCATGGATCTACCAGATCCAAAACTGATCCCTCCTGCTGAGAGTGATGCAATTCAGAACCCTCATCCAAAGAAGAAGAAGAAGAAGAAGAAGAAGAAGAAGAAGAAGAAGAAGAAGAAGAAGAAGAAGAAGAAGAAGGGCCCACATCATCTGTTGTGGAAACTGCAAGCACAGGGCTTGCTCAAGTTTGGACTCAGTTAAGAATAGCAGTCCTATGGAATAACTTTGGGCTCCAGGAAGTCAATACTCATACCACATTCTCTGAACTCTGCAGTGTACAGGACAATCTTACAGTGGTTGAGCTGCTGGTCTGTAGCCTCCTAGTTCACACTCCCTGATTTTCTTTGCTTCTGAACTCCATCCGCAATAAAATCACAACGCTTAAGTATCTACGCACGTATTGTTCCCTTGAATTCTTCCCTCCAGGGTTCTCCTGACTGGGAATCATATTGATGTGGCAATGCTCACAGAAATGTCGAATGACAACCTTCTATATTGGCTTGGAGCAAACTAATCCTAAACATCACAGAAATAAAACTTGGAACATGAGCAAAAATGTGATAGCCGGATTACGTGGCAAAAAGATTCCATTAGAATCACACTTTGGATATAATGTTCTGAAAGAGGCTACTAGTTCACATGATTTTTGAAAGATGCCTAGGAAATGCCCTTGCCTGAGCTCACCTCCACCACACTACAAACTGCTATAGAATATAATTTTGCCTGAAATACAATGATTCAGTCAATTTAAAGTCCTCTTGGTGTCAATGGACCTTTTTTGAAAAAATACAGTTTGACTCACAGCTTAATTTGAATGAATTAAATACATATATTATGTGTTTATATAATTTATTATGCAAGCAGGATCCTTTATGTATAAATTGAATATTTTTAGCCCAGAGTAGGCATAGGTCTGCATAAAAACAAGCTTTATGAAAACCCATTTTGCAAAACAATACTCTTTTAAAGCTAATGGGTTAGTGAAATAGAGCTCTCTGTTTAAGACAGGGGATTTAAATCCTCTGAAGATAGTAACTTATGATCAGCTTCTGACCCATTTCAGCAATCCACTGCTTTTTAAGGTCATGTACGTCATGTTGGAGTAGGGGGGGTGTAAAGTATTTTAGTGATAAGCACTATATCTTAGGGAAATTATTTTTTCCTTTTTCCTTTTCTTTTTTTTGAAAAACAAAAGTTAATCATTCTAAGTCTGTGCTACATATAATCTCTTCTTCCCATCTGTTCAGCCCCAATATCCCCACCTGCTCCCCCACATGTGGCTTGCTGCTCTCTGTAGATCACCAATGAATACATTTATTCTAATAGCCCTGCAGATCCTAATTCATAAAAAGCTAGTTAACCTGCAACCTTGGCGTTATTAGCACCACACTCTAACCAACTGAGCTGTCCAGGCAGGAGAAAACAAGTAAGGGCAGGGCTGGGAAAGACTCATTGCCTGAAACCACAGAGAGCCGCTTCTAGCTAGTGTAGCCAATACTGAGCTGGATAGATCAATGGTCTAACTCAGTATAAGTCAGCTTGCTATGTACATATGCAGTTACATTACTGAAAAAGAACTATTAGAATACAGTGGTACCTCAGGTTAAGAACTTAATTCGGTCCGTTCTTAACCTGAGGTACCACTTTAGCTAATGGGGCCTCCCGCTGCCGCCGTGTCGCTGCCACACAATTTCTGTTCTCACCCTGAGGTAAAGTTCTTAACCTGAAGCACTATTTCTGGGTTAGCGGAGTCTGTAACCTGAAGCGTCTATAACCTGAAGCGTCTGTAACCCGAGGTACCACTGTATTTTCAAAATCATCTGCCCACAGCAGTTTCTTAATGCTCATCACACTTAGTGCATTTTAGGTGCTTCATGCTGATAATTGGTTGTACTTCAAAAGAAAGCAGCCATCATCAGCAACAGAGTCTTAAAATAACCGCCTTACTATAGACTACAACAGGGTCATTGGGACTCACTGCTTGGAGTGGCCTGCCAAGAACATATCTGATTCATCCAATTAAGTGCCTAGACTACCACTAAGACAACAGTACTGAGTCAAAGGGTTAGGAATACAAAAGAGTGATGCTCGAAAAGAACACTGTGGTCTGTATCACTATTGTGGCCACTTCTGCTAGGTGTGCTTGGCACATAGCCCAGCAATCCTCTGCAAACCATGCCAAAAGCCTGACTTTCCAGATCTTGATTTCTTTAATCTTTATTGCACCAGACAGTAGTTAAAGGCACTAACTATCTATGAATCTCTAATTCCATTTAATCATTCTAGCTGATCAATAACGGCAAGTAAAGTGCAATAACTGACAGTCTGAGAGAGCGCAAAACATTCTAAAGATGACATTAAACTTGCTGTTTGAGTAATATTTTTTTTTCATGCTCCTGAGAGTTAAAAGCCTAAATATGGGCTTTAAGCTGATTAGAGGAATTTGGAAACAGAACCAGGTCAAGTGCTTAGTGTTTATTTAGGCAGCTGGACTGTAAAAGGTGTGATAGTCTAAAGCATCTTATACAATGACAGCAGAAGGCTAACATTATATGAACTGAACACACCCTTGCATGAGCATGATGACTCGAAATACCTTCCATCTCTAGTTGCAAGATCATTCACAATGCAAAAGTCAGTTTATGAGATCATCTAGCTAGTCATGTCGTTAATGACAGTTTGCAGTTTGCCTTTAAACCAGAAAGCAGAACTGCATATGAAAATTCAGAACTAACTTTGCTTTGAATAAGTCTTAAGATCGTTTGTGAAATACAGACTTTGCTGTCAAAATCACTGTATAATCAGATCGTGGATGAGGGAGATTTTATTGTGGGCCGACCTTGTCAGCATCACCCTAGAGAGCCAGTGCGCCAACTGGACTCATGTACCTCAACCCCGACTGGGCTGGGCGAGCTGGGTAGCACCGCCAGAGACCTCCTTCCCGCAGGAAACGGTCACAGTGCTGTGGACTCACAGCTTAGAGCTGAGAGCACCGGATTCACTGTCTCAACAATTCAGTCGTTGCGCAGCAGAGTTTCGCAGAGTCTTGCAGAGTATAAACCACTCGGAGAGCAGCTCTGTAAAATACCTTCCTTTATTCTATAACTACAACTATGGTACAAAACTATATACAGAGCTAAATCTTCTGAGCATAAAGCAATGCTATACTGAGAGTCTGCAGCTGCTCTTAGCAGCAATCTAATCTCTAGGATCTCTAACACTCTCACTCTCTCCGATACACTGACTGACTGACTCTCTCACACACACACAGATATGTTGCTGGGCAGAATAAGTTAATAGGCAGGACACGCCTCCTCTTCTCTGTGGAGAGTCAGCAGGAATCATCAGGAGATGGTCAGGAGATTCTTGGGTATGGGAGGGGTGAAATCTCCTCATCCTCCCCCATTTCATCCGACCATTTCAAGAATCTTCTACATAACTGCAATTTACACATACACTCCAAAAGTTGTTCTCTGCTTACAACCTTGGTTAACATATTTGCAGGTATCTCTCTTCCCAGCATATAACACATTTACAATACCATTGAATAAGCAGCTTCTAGAAAAATCTTCATACACATTTCTTCCTCTCAGATACAAATTGACATCTCTAATTAGGCAGATTTGA